GAATATGGCAAACAGCTGCAAGAGTCATCTGCTTTGTAGCTCCAAGACCTTGCTTATACTGCGTAGTAATCCATTCCTTAAGGGCTTTTTGTAATGGTGGGTGCACCAGATGTGAGAATCTAGCCACCCAAGGAAGGGGTGATTTTACTAAGACACACACTGTCTTAGGAAACAGAGCCAAAGGGTCGTAGCTTAGACTATTCCACAACGCAGCAATCAGGTGTATGATATAGTGGAGGTTTAGACAAGTTGTAACAAATGTTGAGTCTGAGAACTCAGGGATAAGTCAGAGGTTACACCTCACTGACTTTTCAGAAACAAGAAGTAACAAGATCAATGCTTGGAAGCTTGGAAAAGATGTGGAAGTATGTGATAGTTGATTTACTGTATTGTCTGCTTGCCCTTTTTCTAAGGAAAGGGCAATCCTATTTATGCTAAAGGAGTGTAGTTCTCTAATTTTCCAAGACTTTCCATGACTAACCAGGCTTGGTAACTGTAGTCGATGTAAGAGAATCCCATAGAACCTAGGTTCCTAGCCTATAGGAAGTGAAAGGAGGTCCAAGGTCAGAGTACCCCTATAGACAAATTATGCCATAACTTAACCAATCTTGTGGGTAACTAAGGAGCGATGACGTGTAATGAATCATAGAGGGTTGTAGAAGCTTTTGGAGCTATCATTCATGTTCCTAGGCCTCTAGTTGATAGAGATATGTCATGTGTAGTATTAGCCCAGTAACTAAGGAGTGATGTCATGTAATGAATCATAGAGGGTTGTAGAGATATGCTATGTGGTCATATTGGCGCAGTAACTAAGGAGCAATGACGTGTAATGAATCATAGAGGGTTGTAGCAATCGTTGAGTAGTATTGCTCTTGTTGTTGGTGTGATAAGCCAAAATATGTATAGTGACTTGTAGGTTTGAGGAGGAGATTTCTAAGTTTGCTCTTGAGTTTGATAGCAAACTGAGTGCAACGAATGTCAGTTATGACACCGATACTATTCGTAAAGAAAGCAGATGGCAAATTAAGATTTTGCATCGATTACCGGAAGTTAAATGGTCTCACCCGGAATGATCCCTACCCCATCCTGCATATCTATGAACTACTAGGATGGGTGTTGAAAGCAAAAATCTTCACGAAGCTAGATATCAGACAAGCCTTCCATCGCATATGGATGCACCCCGACTCGGAATAGTACACGACCTTTCGGACTCGCTATGGATCCTATAAGTGCAAAGTGCTGCCGTTTGGACTAACGAACGGTCCCGGAACCTATCAGCGGTATATGAATGACGTCCTGATGCAATATTTAGATGACTTCTCTACCGCATACTTAGATGACATTCTAATCTATTCAGAGGACCCTATGGAACACATGGAGCATGTGCATAAGGTCCTATAGCGTCTCCGAGAAGCTGGACTCCAAGCCGATTTGAATAAATGCAAGTTCAACGTCACCAGGACAAAATACTTGGGTTACGTTCTCACTACCTCCGGTGTTGAAGCATCCCGACAAAATCGAACCCCTTCGTAACTGGATCTGACCGACCACTGTTACAGGTGTGAAGTCCTATCTGGGATTCTGTGGCTTCTATAGACAATTCATTCGCAATTTCGGCAAAATAGCAAAGCCCTCACGACCATCACTAGTCCCTCAGAGCCGTTCCGATGGACAGACAAATGTGAGGCTGCTTTTGAGGAATTGCGACAGAAACTCCTAGCAGTACAGGCAATTCACCACTTCAACCCCAAATTGCCTACGAAGCTGGAGACAGATTCCTCCGATGGAGTCGTAGCTGGTGTCCTCTCTCAAGAACACCCTGACAAGCGGTGGTACCCTGTAAGCTTCTACAGTCATGTCCTATCCGGACACGAGATCAACTGGGAGATCCATGACAAGGAAACTATTCGTAATAGTAAAGGCCTTTGGAAAATGTAGGCCCGAGTTGGCTTCGGTGCGCCACTGAGTCGATGTTTACACTGACCACCGTTCGCTAGAATATTTCATGTCTACCAAGGTTCTCACCATGAAGCAGGTTCGGGATGGAACTACTCTCCGACTTCAACTTCTGCATTACGTACACCATGGGCACAAATAACCAGAAGGCAGATATTCTGAGCCGAAGAGACTAGGACTTGGTAACGCAGCAGAAAGTCAAACTTGATAGTAGGGTGAGGGTATTGTTAGGTCCAAGCGCCTGCACCTCCGAATCAGCACCGAACTCAGGGGAGCTACATAGCATCCATTAATTCGATGGACACCTCTATGTAACGCTGACTTCTAAACGATAGAAGACACAGAGGTTCCTTGCATAAGGTTGACTCGACAGTGGAGGCAGTGGATTAGACACAAAGGCTTTCCAAGTAACACGTTACAGTATTGTAAAGAATACTATATTGAGTTGAGCACGAAGCTCCTATCTAAGGAAATACTATCTACTTATATAGTGGCGTCGTGCCAAAGGGATATCCATGGATAACATGGATAACATAATATCCATGATATCCATGATATCCAATGTTATCCATCATGTGAGGTTGCAGCCGTAAGCGCTAGCCATAGCACTAGTACTTAGCCGTAACACTCTAAGCCCCAGATGCCTTTCGATTTAATAGAGGCTTTATGTGCGGACAACAGAGAGTCGTTTACAGAGACATGCGCAAAACACCCCTACCTGACGTGTTCGCGATGAACGACCAGCTTCTTCTAGACAAAGGCTGGCTATGTGTAAATCGCCACACCGAGCTATGTACGAAACTAATCCAAGAAGCGCATGACCAGGTGTCGGTGGCACATCCTAGCAGCTGGAAAACCTATCAATTGATTGCCCCAAAGTACCACTGGGTCGGGATGGAAGCAGATTGTTTGCGCTATGTGAGGAATTGTGTGACATGTTGGCTTTCTCATACCAATGTCACCAAGCAACAAGGATTCCTACACCCGCTGCCCGTACCCGAATATCCTATGCAACACCTCACCATGGACTTCAAGGAGTTCCCAAGGGACAAGCATGGATACGACAGCATCTTAGTGTTTATGGACCGACTCGGAAAGAGTTCAGTGACCATACCTTGCTACAAAACCACAACTGCCCAGCAAATGGCACAATTGTTCATCGAATGGATATACCGATTCGGACACACTCCAGAGTCGATTGTAAGCAACCGCGGACCCCAATTCGTATCATCCTTTTGGCAGGAGTTCTGTCGAATTATCGGCGTTAATGTTAAGCTGTTGACTGCCTATCATAAGCAGACTGATGGACAGACGGAAATCATGAACCGATACATCAATCAGAGCGACAAGGTCTTCATAAGTTGCCTAGGGTCCGGCAATCGCAACCCCAGAACCAAGACCTACATAGACAAGTTCATTACCAAAGTCAGGTTGACACACTTGACTTTATTGACCTTGAGGTCGACGATTTACAAGGGCTGCCCCCAAGCCAAAACGAGGGTGGTTATTCACTACCTTCACTTACAAAGCCTTCTATTGCAAAGAGGCCACAGAAAGATAATGGGCTCAACATACACCAGAAGGGGACAACGGAGACAACCGAATTAAGTCAAGTCCATAACAAGTCACAGTCTGGTCGAGAAATTCTAGAGTCGTAGTGTAATACAGACATATAGTAATAATTATAGTAATTGCCAATCTATCTAAAACCACGTGAAAAATGTTCAAGTAGTGCCGTGAAAACTGTTTGGCTTCAGACCGGACCGCAGTCTGGGTTGAAGATTTGGGACCGGACCGCCCCATGGTCCGGTCTGGGGTCAGTCCCCCATGACGCACGCTAGTAGGTAGCCACCGCACGCCTCAGGATTCAGGTCAGAGCAACCACCCCTTATTTTGACAAAATAAACGCAATAAATGCAGACGCATGAAGCTTAGAATATAAAGGGCTTCGAGCATTCAGCGAGTTTGTTACAGCTATCGGAACTTGAAATCATGGAGATTACGTGCTGGAGCCCTGTGATACTATTCTGTCTGTTGGATGTCTGATAGCATTTTCCCAGGGGTGGTCAGGGGTCTGGGGTCTGAGTTCAGGGGTAAAATAGTGGCGCGCCTGGTTTGAAACGCGAGCGTCTAAACACTATCACACCATTCGCTGCCACCAACAACAACTCTGAGTGACAAATTCCAACATCGTGCTCTCAAGCAATTTCGGGGCATAGAGCCTTCTTTAACGCTCGTCCCAAAAATAAGAATATACGGGAGCGCAGTTTTAGTGGAGCAGCCAAGCTCTTGGTAACCTAAAAAAGTACCCCCACCCCCCGGTCTGATCCACCCGGCGGGAAGACGCTGCCAGTTGTACAGTATTATCTCGTTAAGTTGATACACGATTAGTCAATTTTCTGGATAACTCAATAACTTTCTTCGGATCCTTCCATTCGTCATAAAAATCACGATACACATGATATTGAGTCCCTTTTCCCAATTATCGACTTAAACTAATTACTGGACTACTCTTAGAATACCTTCAAAATGCCTTCGAAAAAGCTCTATTCTATGTCTCTCGAAAAGGGAAAAGCCCTCTGAACCTGGCATCGATCTCACCATCCGAAACCTACACAAAAGGCCACTAGACAGTGGTTTCTCGAGAAATACAATCGTCGACTTAGCCAATCTACAGTCTCAGAATCCCTTAGCTCTCGATTTTTGGACCTTGACGATACTTCTAATACTCTGGAAACAAACAGCTCTAAAGCTCAGCGTCGCCGCGCTGTCGCCTGGCCTGAATTAGAAGCTGCTTTTTACGACTGGCAGAGGCTTATTGAAGAGCGTGGTGGCATTACAACTACAGAAATCTTACAATCAAAGGCGAAGATTATCTGGAATCAGCTACCACAATACCGTGGACTACCTATGCCAGACAACGGCATAATATATTATATCGAAGTCTACATGGCGAAGCTGGATCTATTGGTGTCACTGCAGAAGAACAAATGAAGGCTATACAAACTATTGCGGGGGAGTTTTTAGAGGACAATATTTACAACATGGATGAGACTGGGCTTTACTGGAGGATGAGCCCTTCAAAGGGCTTTACAACACGATCAATTCCAGGACAGATGTAAAGGCGTAGGACCCAGGGTCACACGGGAGCTCAGGGAACCAGATCAGTAGGTAGGAAGTAGGATTCAATGCGTAACAATAGGTCTACGTATATACAGCGACTATTGACTGGAGGCCTCACTCCGAGCCTCCAGCCCCTTATATACAGGAACCCGTAGGCCCTAATTTACCGAGCCCGCCAGGTCCACTGTAAGAGCGTGACACCTCACGTGCCCTCACGTGAGGGCCGCCTTACAATTACCTCCCCCTTCTAGGGAATTGCCCCCAATTCCAGGCATAGAGATCAGGGCTGATTGCGCCCTTGTTTGGGCTTGTTTGGCTTGTTTGCTCGCGCGTAGGGTGGGTTGTTTGTTATCGAACTCGCGCCTGTCAGGGGGGTCCCGTGACCCCCCTTGTTGTTGTGCCGCGGCCACCCCCAGTTGTTGTGGGCATCGCGCTTAACTCCCACTTCCTACCCAACTTCCTACTTTCCTCACACAACCTCACACCAAGTGCCCGCTCTTCTGGGTTCTTGGCTTCTTCCTTTTGATCCTCTTCCAAGGTTTGCTTCAAGGCTTACTCCCTCTTCGCAAGGTATTTACCTCCCTTCCGTCCTTCATCTTCAGGGACTGATCTGTGGATTAGTTCCGTCAATCATGGCTCCGCGCAAGCAGCCCAAGAAGACAGTGGCGCCTGTCGCCACCCCTCTCAAGCGCTCTTCCGCCCAGATGTCTGGTCTCCCGAGTTGGAGTCACCTGCCACCCCTACTCCCTTCGGTCCTGCTTCCGTTGCGTCCACCTCTCGCCCTCGCACCGTGCGTCCCTACCGATCACCTTCGGTTGAGGATGCTCCAGAGGAGGAGGAGGAGGTCGCTGCTCAGTTGGCCGCCAAGGAGATGCGTACGGCGCTGGGGTGGAAGCTTTCTGCGCGCCGCCCAGTTCCAGAGTCTGTTGGTCCCCTTCGCGCAGGCTCCCGCGACTGCTGCGTCAAGTGTTCGGTCACCTATTACAACTATCCTGGACAGATCTGCTGGGTCCCTGTTGGCTTGGACAAGTGCGGCGACTGTCTCCAAGGAAACCACCGCTGCGTTCCGGTAGGCCTCCTTTTCCTTCTTAGTGGGATATGCTGACAACCAGGCAGGTCGGTCCTGATCAGAAGGATGCCCTCACTGCCCTGCAGCTCAAGGCCGACGCCTATTTGAACTGTTGCGCTGTGACGAGGACGCTGGGCTGGAAGATGATTCGGTCGCCACCCGTGAGGCTATGGCCTCCCTCCTCTTTTGCCCAACGCGAGTTCACTACCGCTGATAAGGGCAAGGAGCCTCGCACCCTGAAGGTCAAGAATAAGGGTAAGAGAGCTGCTACGTCCTTCCACTGTCACGGTTCACCAAGGCATAGGGCGCCAGTTGGGTATTATGAATTAAACTCAATCTAGAGAAGAAAGGAAAGAGAAGAGAAGCACTCGAGCAGTGGCTCGATCTATATACAGTGTAAGGATGCCTCCTTACTCGGGTAGTTACGGCCGTCACGTGGCGCCATCGAGACTCGGGGCCGTTACGGGTCAGTCGCGACTGACAGCCTTAGGCATATAACGTAAGGAAGCCTTAGGCAAACAGGGAGCTAGCTGAGTCGGAGCGGTTTCGGGTATTTTAAGGGAACAGCCATACAGGGTGACACCTTCATCTTTTTGTATCCTTCGTAGTAGACCTATAGGATAGAATACAGCATCACCTCCGACTCGCACTCCCATATGCACCTACGGAGAGCCGTATTCCCTGTGTCCTTACATTATACAAAAAAGATCACGCCTGCCGGGGACGGCCGTACTTAAATAATATCCCACAACGGAACGACTCAGGAGAACTGTCGAAACACCACCGACCGCGACTCAGTGACATTTCGAAGTAGAGACCTGACGACTTCAAATAGCCGTGACCCCAGAGAACTCACGGACAACCAGTGGATCAGGGTTTGATCCTGCAGAGCAAGCTGGTAAAGTCGCCGACGCGTTGGCGCCGAATAGGATACGAGATCCTTAAGAACCCCCTCAAGCACAGAGGCAATTGTGAACAAGAGTGTTGATAGCTACGAGCTACCGGAAGTCAAACTCTTTCGTATCGACACCGATACACTCCCGAACCAATATGAGGAAAATGACCTCAAACATCCCCCAAGACAATGATGGTCAACCGTCACGAATGTCAACGAGACAAACCACCGCTGCAGCTACGACCGCTGCACCCACCGATGACATACCGGATCGAATGGCAAACCTCGAGATCCAGATGCAAGAGATCAAGGAAATGATAGCCAACCTAGCGGCAACCCAGACCAGAATACCGTCCACGCCACAGGTGGACACCGTCGAAGTTGAGGAGCGACGAACTTCCCCTATACGAAACACCCCCGAGACAGTTCAGTTGCCGCCTCTTCGAAACACTCGTTCTCCATCGATTCCGAGGATGTATTCCGAAGACCCTCCGAATCGCTACAAGAAATCCACCATCTCTGAGAAGATTACGCCGCTCAGCGATGGGATAGAACATACCTTTATGCAATGGAGCGCGTCCATTCGGGACCGCCTCGTAGTCAATGAGGATCACTACCCTACCGACGTCTCGAGAAGAGCGTTGATATGGGGGACTACGACTGGCCTGGCAAAGAAATACCTCGAACCCCAATACCTATCCGCGACACATGGTTTCGAGTGCCGACGAGATGATGGACCTGTTGGGTTCATATTACCTCACTGGCAACGAAACGGAACAGGCCCGGAACCTCTTCGACGACCTCCAAATGGGAGAGAAAGGACATACCAACGAGACTTTCTCAGAGTTCAAAGCTCGCTTCCAAAGTGCAGCTATTACGGGACAGGTCACAGAGTCGGAATGGTGTCGGTACATGTGGAACAAGTTGACCCCTCAATTCCGTAGCCGCGTAGCGGTTATCAAAAGTCAATGGAAGGGAGACTACCACACTATGGTCCGAGAACTCACCGCCTTCGATCAGGAGCGACGCCGGAACAACGAGCTAAGCTTCCCGTCCAAGAGCGGCGAGTCGAGCTCCCGAGGACCCGCTCGTCTGAGCTCATCTAGGTTCACACCCGCTGAGCCGGAAGAACCCAACCGCCGAGGCCTACAAGAAGCCCTCTGGTCTCCTTCCAGAGGACTCCTTTTACGCCCACGGCCCCCAAGCCGGACATTACAGGCCGCGTGCGGACCGCCGTGCCGGCTACGTCCGGGAACTGTTTCAAGTGCGGCAAGCCGGGCCATTTCCAAGACAAATGCCCGCTCAACCCCACCGTCAAGGAGATTGACCGCGAAGCCCCTGAGGACGAAGAGCAGTGGGAGGAAGCAGTCGCCCACCAGTCGGATGCGTCCCTGGAGGAAAACGACGAGGCCTAGGGAAAGGCTCCTTCCTAGGTCTACGCAAATGTGATCTGCAAGGACTGGATTTACGAGAGCTCTTGGGAGGCTCCCAATTTCTCGTTGATACAACCCTGAGTATGAACGGACTCGGGGTGCAAACGAAGTCACTCGCAGACACAGGAGCAAATGGCTACCTCGTCATTAATAAGCNTTCATCTTTTTTGTATCCTTCGTAGTAGACCTATAGGATAGAATACAGCATCACCTCCGACTCGCACTCCCATATGCACCTACGGAGAGCCGTATTCCCTGTGTCCTTACATTATACAAAAAAGATCACGCCTGCCGGGGACGGCCGTACTTAAATAATATCCCACAACGGAACGACTCAGGAGAACTGTCGAAACACCACCGACCGCGACTCAGTGACATTTCGAAGTAGAGACCTGACGACTTCAAATAGCCGTGACCCCAGAGAACTCACGGACAACCAGTGGATCAGGGTTTGATCCTGCAGAGCAAGCTGGTAAAGTCGCCGACGCGTTGGCGCCGAATAGGATACGAGATCCTTAAGAACCCCCTCAAGCACAGAGGCAATTGTGAACAAGAGTGTTGATAGCTACGAGCTACCGGAAGTCAAACTCTTTCGTATCGACACCGATACACTCCCGAACCAATATGAGGAAAATGACCTCAAACATCCCCCAAGACAATGATGGTCAACCGTCACGAATGTCAACGAGACAAACCACCGCTGCAGCTACGACCGCTGCACCCACCGATGACATACCGGATCGAATGGCAAACCTCGAGATCCAGATGCAAGAGATCAAGGAAATGATAGCCAACCTAGCGGCAACCCAGACCAGAATACCGTCCACGCCACAGGTGGACACCGTCGAAGTTGAGGAGCGACGAACTTCCCCTATACGAAACACCCCCGAGACAGTTCAGTTGCCGCCTCTTCGAAACACTCGTTCTCCATCGATTCCGAGGATGTATTCCGAAGACCCTCCGAATCGCTACAAGAAATCCACCATCTCTGAGAAGATTACGCCGCTCAGCGATGGGATAGAACATACCTTTATGCAATGGAGCGCGTCCATTCGGGACCGCCTCGTAGTCAATGAGGATCACTACCCTACCGACGTCTCGAGAAGAGCGTTGATATGGGGGACTACGACTGGCCTGGCAAAGAAAATACCTCGAACCCCAATACCTATCCGCGACACATGGGTTTCGGAGTGCCGACGAGATGATGGACCTGTTGGGTTCATATTACCTCACTGGCAACGAAACGGAACAGGCCCGGAACCTCTTCGACGACCTCCAAATGGGAGAGAAAGGACATACCAACGAGACTTTCTCAGAGTTCAAAGCTCGCTTCCAAAGTGCAGCTATTACGGGACAGGTCACAGAGTCGGAATGGTGTCGGTACATGTGGAACAAGTTGACCCCTCAATTCCGTAGCCGCGTAGCGGTTATCAAAAGTCAATGGAAGGGAGACTACCACACTATGGTCCGAGAACTCACCGCCTTCGATCAGGAGCGACGCCGGAACAACGAGCTAAGCTTCCCGTCCAAGAGCGGCGAGTCGAGCTCCCGAGGACCCGCTCGTCTGAGCTCATCTAGGTTCACACCCGCTGAGCCCGGAAGAACCCAACCGCCGAGGCCTACAAGAAGCCCTCTGGTCTCCTTCCAGAGGACTCCTTTTACGCCCACGGCCCCAAGCCGGACATTACAGGCCGCGTGCGGACCGCCGTGCCGGCTACGTCCGGGAACTGTTTCAAGTGCGGCAAGCCGGGCCATTTCCAAGACAAATGCCCGCTCAACCCCACCGTCAAGGAGATTGACCGCGAAGCCCCTGAGGACGAAGAGCAGTGGGAGGAAGCAGTCGCCCACCAGTCGGATGCGTCCCTGGAGGAAAACGACGAGGCCTAGGGAAAGGCTCCTTCCTAGGTCTACGCAAATGTGATCTGCAAGGACTGGATTTACGAGAGCTCTTGGGAGGCTCCCAATTTCTCGTTGATACAACCCTGAGTATGAACGGACTCGGGGTGCAAACAAAGTCACTCGCAGACACAGGAGCAAATGGCTACCTCGTCATTAATAAGCTTTTCGCGCAACGGTTGTCGAAAGCGCTTCAGAGCCCCATACGGAAACTGCCCTACTCTGTACCCATACGTGGATTTCAGCGAAATATCCAAAGCTACGTATCGGAGTATATTCGGTTACACTTGACAGTCGAAGGACGCCGAATATATAACTGCCCCTTTGTGCTCCTAGATCTCGGAGCGCAAGATGTGATAATTGGGAAGAAGCTTTTTAGCCGCTTCCGAATCCTACTCGACTCTGCAAAGAGCCTGCTAGTATGGCCAAAGGAGTACCCGCCTACTCCTAGCTGGAGCAAAGAGATCACCTTGCCCTACCACTCGCGTGAACTGTCTATACGTCACCCCGCCCATCAATCAGATGCGAACCGGCGGGACGATGCCATCGACCATGACGACAGATGACGTGAGGGCAGACGCTCGATACCAATGAAAGTGATAACGGCCCATCGTGACGCTATTATGATCACCCCACCGAGCCCGGTGCGAGACGAGGGAACGACCCACCTGCACCCCAAAACCCCAAGGACACGAGCCTCGCCCGTGGAAACCTATAAAGACGGACCCTTAGGGCAAGTGGAGGCGAAACCTCCAAGAAACGGACCATCCGCATATGAGAGAAAGAATCATGGGAGGAGCGGAGTCTTCTCTCTTTCCCGACGCCAGACCCTGGTACGCAGCTTCACGCCGGTCCAAATTTGCGAGATTGGCGCAAACGCTTTCCACTATGAGATGATGCGAAGCGACTCCGAGTTCTTTACGACAAGCATCTCACGAGATCGACCAGATCATCCGAGAGAGGGAAGCGGCCGAGGACGAGGAAACGCTCCGCCTCATTCGGGACAAGCTTCCGCATATGCACTGCAACTATTCCAATGTCTTCTCGAAGTCGGAATCTGATCAGCTTCCCCCGCATCGCATATACGATCACAAGATACAACTAGAAGCCCCTTTACCAAATGCCTTTTCGCCACTATACCGACAAAGCACCGAAGAGCTTAAGGCGACTAAGCAATACCTATTAGAGAACCTCGAGAAGGGCTTTATAGTCAATAGCAATAGCCCGTTTGCCTCCCCTATACTGTTCGTGAAGAAGGCAGATGGCAAACTGAGATTTTGTATCGACTACCGGAAGTTGAACGGACTTACCCGTAACGACCCCTACCCTATCCCGCATATCGACGAACTACTAGGACGGGTGTCGAAAGCAAAAATCTTCACGAAGCTAGACATTAGGCAAGCCTTCCATCGTATACGAATGGACCCCGACTCCGAGGAGTACACGACCTTCCGGACTCGGTATGGATCCTACAAATGCAAAGTGCTGCCGTTTGGCCTAACGAACGGCCCCGCAACCTATCAGAGGTATATGAACGACGTTCTTATGCAATACTTGGACGACTTCTGTACTGCCTACCTAGACGACATCCTAATCTACTCCGAGGACCCCGCGGAACACATGGACCACGTACATAAGGTCCTCCAACGGCTTCGAGAAGCAGGACTACAAGCCGACATTAAGAAATGCGAGTTCAACGTAACCCGGACAAAGTATTTAGGCTATATCCTGACTACTACCGGTGTCGAAGCGGATCCCGAGAAGATCGAACCCCTCCGGAATTGGATCCGGCCAACAACTGTCACAGGCGTGAAGTCTTACCTTGGATTCTGCGGCTTCTACCGCCAATTTATCAGAAATTTCGGGAAAATAGCCAAGCCTCTCACCACTATCACCAGCCCCTCAGAACCGTTCCTGTGGACTGACGAATGTGAGAACGCTTTTGAAGAAATGCGCCGACAGCTTTTAGCCGTGCAGGCGCTCCACCACTTCAACCCCGAATTGCCTACGAAGCTGGAAACAGACTCTTCTGATGGAGTCGTAGCCGGTGTCCTTTCTCAGGAACACCCCGACAAGCGATGGTATCCTGTAAGCTTCTACAGTCACGTCCTATCTGGGCATGAGATCAATTGGGAGATCCACGACAAGGAACTGTTCGCCATCGTCAAAGCGTTCGCAAAATGGAGGCCAGAATTAGCATCGGTACGCCACCGAATCGACGTCTATACAGATCACCGATCGCTGGAATACTTCATGTCGACGAAGGTTCTCACGGCGAAGCAGGTTCGGTGGATGGAGCTACTCTCCGACTTCAATTTCTCTATTGCGTATACTGCTGGCAAGAACAATCAGAAGGCAGATATACTGAGCCGAAGAGAGCAAGACCTGATTACGCAACAGAAGGTCAAACTCGACAGCCGTGCGAGGGTGCTGTTAGGCCCAGCCCGACTACACTCCCGAATCAGTGCCGAATTAGCACAAACGTACGTGGCCTCGATCAATGCGATGGATGCCCCGAACACCCAGGTCCCCTTTGACCTGATAGAAGCGCTCTGCGCGGATAATAGGAGGTCGTTTACCGACACTCGCGTGAAAGACCCCCTACCTAATGGGTTTATAATGAAGGACCAACTCTTGCTATACAAAGGTCGACTGTGCGTAAACCGGCACACCGAGTTATGTACGAAACTCATACGGGAAGCACACGATCAAGTATCAGTAGCCCACCCTAGTGGCAGGAAAACTTATCAGTTACTCGCCCCGAAGTATCATTGGGTCGGAATGGAAGCGGATTGCCTCCGATATGTGCGCAACTGCGTGACGTGCCGACTTTCTCACACTAGCGTGACGAAGCAGCAAGGCTTCTTACACCCCCTACCGGTACCCGAATACCCCATGCAACACCTAACGATGGACTTTAAGGAATTCCCAAAGGATAAACACGGATTCGACAGCATCCTTGTGTTCATGGACCGACTCGGTAAGGGTTCGGTGTCCATACCGTGTCATAAGACCACCGATGCCCGCCAAATGGCGCAGCTATTCATCGAATGGATATATCGATTCGGACACACCCCAGAGTCGATCATTAGTGATCGCGGACCCCAATTCATATCAGCTTTCTGGCGAGAGTTCTGCCGAATCATAGGGGTCAAGATTAAGCTGTCGACAGCCTATCACAAGCAGACCGACGGGCAGACGGAAATCATGAATAGGTATATCGATCAGAGACTGAGGCCCTTCGTATCACATTACCAGGATAACTGGAGCGAGCTCATTCCCATCATGGATCGGGTGCAAATGACCCTTCCCCATGCCTCGATCAGAATGACCCCCTACCGACTCAAGTACGGAACTGATCCGCGCACCAGTTGGGACTGGGAAACCCCGAAAGCCACGACCCCTAGGGAAGTCATGAACCAGAAGGAAGCCAAAGCAGTAGCAAACCGCATGCACTCCGCATGGATTTACGCAAAGGAGAACATGGCCAAAGCACAAGAGGATATGTCTAAATACGCGAATCGACGCCGACGAGCCATTGACTGGGACGTAGGAGACAAGGTTTACCTATCGACCAAGAATCTGAAAAATCACCGCCCTAGCCGTAAGCTGGGGCAACAATGGGTCGGACCCTATACGGTACTGGAACAAATCGGACACGCCTTCCGACTAGACCTACCGAAGGGTTCCCAAATACACGATGTCTTCTCTCCAGACGTACTCATCAAGGCTCCGAATAACCCGCTGCCCGGTCAAGCAGCGCCTGAGCCAAGCAGCGAAGTCGTAGACGGCCTAGAGGAGTGGGAGGTCGAAAAGATCCTCGCCGTAAGGATCCGGCGAAAACAACTTCAATACCAGGTATCCTGGGTCGGATACGATCCGGACCCGGAATGGTACCCCGCCTCAAACTTTAAGAACTCCCCCTACAAAATCCGGGAGTTCCACGCGGAGTACCCAAACCTGCCAGGACCGCCGCAGGACCTACCCGGCTGGATCACGGAATGGGAGACAGGCAAACCAAGCTACGATCACGAGAGGCACGGCAAAGCAGAGGAAAACAGCGTCGTTGCTACCTACGACACTAAACTAAACACCCTCTAAGCCAGGGCACCCTCAGAGCCGTAGCCCTTGCGGAAGCCACCCTTCCCAAACGTCTCACCGGCGTCGCAACAAGCGGCTACCACCATGAGAGACGAAGGGTCGAAGTGACCCCACGCGAAAGACCACGCCCGAGTTCCCTCCGACACAGGGCCTATCACCCAAGGTCGACGGTCACCCCCTCCTCCTCCACCTCCGCCCCCCTCTTCCTCTTCTTCCCCCACCACCGCCCACCTTCGCCGCCGCGGCGAGGACGTCGGGGATCCTCTCCACCAACTCCCCCACCGCATCCACCGCAGAAGCCACCCCATCAAGGGCAGCGATCTCCTTCTCCTGGTTCACCAGGATCAGGGCCGATTTCTGGCCCACGACGGCCACGGCCTGGCGGACCCGCTACGGTCGTCAGCGCGAGAACCAAAAACACACAAGGGAAACGGAAAACTTACCTCCAGACCGTCCTCGACGGCGGCGCGGAGGGCGCAACTCTCCATATAGGCCGAAAGCTCGGCCGGGGAGCGGAACTTCGGCATATTGGCGGTGGCCAATGTGACCACATGCCCAATCTCCGCCGCAGCGGCCTTGATGGCGGCGGGGACGGGAGGGGTTGCTGCCTCGGTAGCCAGGAGCTTCTGGTACTCCGGGCCAGCAAACCAGGAGATCTATCTCCAGAGGTCAGCGACGGGCAGACAGACAAACCACAAAACCAAAAACCAAACGAGAACCCACCGGAACACACGTTGCGTGTTGGGCCACGCAGCGCTCACACTTGGAGCTTTCCAAGCTCCACACACACGAGACGGCGGGATCTCCGTCCTTCTTGCGCCCTTTGGCGCGCACGCAGCGCATACACTGCTGGCGGAAAGCCACAGTGAGGGCGCCGGGAGGAGGGGGAACCGGCATCTTCAAATTGGAAATCTGCGATTTCCCGTCAGCCCAACCCAAGTTATCACCACCGCGCCAGCGCGGTTCCGTCACCTACCAAATCGTTCGTTGTGTTTTTGTATCTAAAAACAACCTGTTAGCATCCAGCTGTACCATCGGAAGGGCCACTTACCAGTCTCGGGAGGGGGCTCAGCGTCGTTGTTGTGAAGAAAACAACAAGTTCTGGGCGAAGCTCGAATTCATATTCTGGCTTATAACAAAGCCGTCCGAATCGGGTTAGCGCGAAATTTCCCCCTCGACACATACCGCGCGGACCCTATTCGATACCAATACGGACCCTCGCAACACTAATCGCCGCGCACACAACAAAGACGCGACTTTGCGCAAACGGATTCAGACCACTTCCAGTGCCTATACGGCCGCCCACCATCAGCCTTCTGGACAAACAAAGGGCATTCTAGTCTTGGCGCCCGCACCTCACCCACCAACCCAAACAAGGGCTCGTCGCGGCAGCTACTCGGCTTGCGTGCTTTGAGGACAAAGCACCTTCTCAAGGCGGGGGGTAGTGTAAGGATGCCTCCTTACTCGGGGTAGTTACGGCCGTCACGTGGCGCCATCGAGACTCGGGGCCGTTACGGGTCAGTCGCGACTGACAGCCTTAGGCACATAACGTAAGGAAGCCTTAGGCAAACAGGGAGCTAGCTGAGTCGGAGCGGTTTCGGGTATTTTAAGGGAACAGCCATACAGGGTGACACCTTCATCTTTTTTGTATCCTTCGTAGTAGACCTATAGGATAGAATACAGCATCACCTCCGACTCGCACTCCCATATGCACCTACGGAGAGCCGTATTCCCTGTGTCCTTACATACAGCTTGTGGAGTGAATTCTCTTTAGCGAGACCAGTTCTGAGAATTCACTCCACAACTGAAAACTTCGCTCCAACCCCGGAAAGCTCCCCACACCCCTGAACCCCCACTCGAGCTGCAAGACGCACTTGATATCGTAACATCCACGAGGAACCTGTTGCGCCTCTCCCTGAGGCTGGGGGCCCCGTCGTCCGCAACCTCAACGACCCACGCCAAGCCCTTCTTCATCACGCTGAGACCCTTGCTGAGCTGGATCAGGCCAAGACCAAGGCTCTCAAGGCTGCTGCTGCTACGTTCCATGCTGCTACTGATGCGGCTCTAGATGCCTACCAGGTTGGCCTCAACGCCCACGTCGCCGCCCTGAAGTTTGTAGTAGGTTTGTGATTCCCATCCTTCCTGGACGTTTTGCTGACCCTGTGGGTAGCTCGAGTGAGGCCTGTCCTGCCCTCCGCGCCCTTGTCGGTAGGACCTATTCTCCTGCCTACGCCTGCGGATCACGATCGTGCTCTTTTTGAGCGTTTGTTTGTGTGTCCAGACCAGTGGCGCTTCAATCCACGCCCTGCCCCCGTCGTCGTCCCCTTGTCTGACGCGCGCGTTTCTTCTAGGTCTGGGTCGGGGTCTGCTTCTGGGTCTGTGAGCCCTTCTCCTTCAGAACTTGACGCGTTGTTTTTTCCCTTAGTTTAGGACAATACTCTACATTGCCTTCTGCGTCTGTTCCTTGTGATATGCCTTGATTAACGGTAGTCCTACGTCAAGCTTTGGAACCCACTGATCGTCAGCTGCAGTGTAGCCTGCCCACCTAATCAGGTATTCCTCTCGGATTCCTCTACCCCTCCGCACAGTCCTGTGGTCTAGGACTGCCTCGACCTTGTATTCTTCTTCCCCATCCACGATCTCTGGATCTGGTGGAGGATCGGCCTTCTCAACGCCTTCCCGATACCTCTCGAGTAGGGAGACGTGGAACACGTCGTGAATCGCCTTATACCGTGGGGGAAGCCTCAATCGATACGCCTGTTTACCTATCCGCCCGGTGATCTCATACGGTCCGAGCCACCGGTGACCTAGCTTCCTACTTGGCTGGGTGGTTCTGATATTCTTGGCAGAAAGCCACACCCGTTCGCCGACCATGAACTGCATTGGCTTGTGGATCTTGTTATATCCTCGGACTTGGGCTTCCTTCGATCTCGCCCAGGCCTCTTCAAGCTCCTTTCGTAGGTCGAGGATCTTCTGGACTCGGTCTCTTGCAACCGGCACCTCCCTTCTCATGGGGTCATCCTCGATCCCTTGCCGCAGGTCGATGTTGATACCGTATCGAGCCTGATTTGGCGACATCTGGATGGAATCGTGGAAGGCATTATTGTAGGTAAGCTCCGCGAAGTGAAGAAGTTCTACCCAATTGTCCTGGTGCTGATTGCAGTGTAGGCGTAGGTAGGCCTCAATATTCTGGTTCTGCCTTTCCATCTGGCTGTCAGATTGAGGGTGGAAGGCAGTCGATAGGTTCCACCGTACTTTGAGGTGGAAACAGAAGGCCAACCAGAAGTGGCACGTAAATACGCTGCCGCGGTCTGTGATTATTTCAGCAGGAATTCCAAAGTCCTTAACCCAATACTCAAGGAAGACCCGCCCCAACTCGGTGGCAGTAATGGTCTTCCGGCAGGGTATATATTTGGATACCTTGGTGTATCGGTCTACGATTACCAAAATAGAGTCTGAAGCCTTAGCTTGGTCTGCTCCTATACTAGGCGGCAGATCTGTGATGAAGTCCATACTTATGGACTCAAAGGGCTTAGTAGGCATTCTAAGGCCTTGCATTTCGCCGTAGGGTCTATGCCGTACCGGCTTGATCCGCTGGCACCGATCGCAGCCACGTACGTACTCCCTGGCTTCCTGGTCTAATCCAGGCCAGTAGTATTTCCATCGGATCAGTTCCTGGGTCTTCTTATATCCGAAGTGCCCAGCCAAAGGGTCGTCGTGGCAAATCTTGAAGATTTCCATACGTACTGCCTGGTTGGGAGGCACGTAGGCCGCTCCCTTGAAGCGTAGGATGCCTGCATCGTCTACTCTCCAACCTGAAGAGCCCTTCGCCCACGCCGACCCTGCTTCTCTGGCCCTGTGAACAGCGAGCTCGTCAGCCGCTTGAAGGGTTTTGATCAGATCCGCTAAGGGTTCGGCCGTGGCACTGTAGGCGCTCTCTCCCTGAGCCATGGCTGCCACCATAACTCGAGGGACAACGAGACCTGGACTCTTGGTGTCCTTACTCTGGTCTTCGCCCAGTGTGGTGCCTACTTCTTGTAAGTCAGCCACTACCCGCCTCATCTGCAGGGCTTCTTCTCCTGCCTGTATGGCTTTCTGGAGCTTGTTTCGAAGGGTAGGAAGCATCACGTTCTGGCTACCCTTCTCTTCCTCATAGTCTGGTCTCCTAGACGGCCCATCTGCGGGGTTGGTCTTGCCAGCTCGATAGGATATTTGGAAGTCGTAGGCCGACAACGCCTGTGCCCACCGCGCCTGCCTTCTTGTGAGGGCAGTGGTTTCCATGAAGTATTTCAGGTTGTTGTGATCCGTCAGGACCTCGATTGGGTGTTGGCTACCCTCTAGGTAATGCCTCCACTGTTCGAAAGATCTCACGATCGCCAAGAGCTCTTGGTCGTGGACCTCATAGTTCAGCTCTGCTGGCTCCAGCTTTTTGCTGAAGAAGGCGACTGGGTGCCACCCGCCCCTTCGTTCTGGGGTTTCTTCTACGTATTGGGAAAGGTTCCCTGCCAACCCGAAGCCGGAGGAGTCTGTCTCAAGCCTAATCTTACGGCTTGGATCGAAATGGACTAACGTGGGAGCTGTGGTGAAGGCCTCCTTGAGGCGATCGAACGCGCCCTGCTGCATTGCTCCCCACACAAAGGGCCCGGTCTGTTTACCGGCCTTGGCCCCCTTCATAAGGCCAGTCAAGGGTGCCACAACAGAGGAGTACTGCTCTATGAAGCGCCAGTAAAAGTTGGCGAAGCCGAGGAACACCTGGACCTCTCGGTAGGTCTTGGGTGTAGGCCACTCAGCTATCGCAGCAACCCGGTCGCCTTCCATAGCCACTCTTTCTGTTGTGATGGTATATCCAAGGAAGCCTACCTGTTTGGTATTGAACTCGCACTTTAAGAGCTTCACATATAGGTTCGCCTCTCGTAGGCGACCTAGGACCTCCTGTACGTGGTGGGTATGTTCCTCCTCTTTAGAGGAATAAATAAGGATATCGTCGAGGTATACAACGCATATCGTATCAACGAGCCCTTCGAGGGTCTCGTTCATATAGGCCTGAAACGTGGCTGGCGCGTTGGCCAAGCCAAAAGGCATCACTTTGTACTCAAAGTGGCCGTAACGAGTGCGGAAGGCAGTCTTCCACTCGTCGCCTGGGTGGATCCGGATCCTGTGGTAGGCGTTCCTAATATCCAGCTTTGTGAAGACCTTCGCTCCTTGGAGCCGATCCAAGGTCTCTGTGATCAGCGGCAAGGGGTGCCTATTCTTTACAGTGATCTTATTCAGACCCCTATAATCCACGCAGAGGCGTAACTGCCGTCCTTCTTCTGTACGAACAGTATGGGCGCGCCCGCTGGGCTTATGCTCCTCTGGATCCAACCCTTACTTTCGCTTGATTGAAGGTATTCCCGGAGTGTGGCCAACTCCGTCTCAGATAGGTTGTATACCGGGCCGTAAGGCGGCTCTTGCATGCTGGTATCGATACCGTGGGTCTTCCTACCCAGCTCGGGTAGGTCTTCTGCCCACTCCTTAGAGAAGACGTCGGCGAATTCAGCGTACTCCCTTGGGCATTGGGGTTCCAACGCTCCTTCTGAGGTCAACGCCAGGACAAAGGCAGTATCGCCTTTGTCTAGCTCTTCAATACCCACCTCCATCGCCTTCGATATATCGAAGGGGTAGCGCCATATCTGGGTCTGCCAATCGATCTGGGGGTTGACCTGTACGATCCAGTCCATTCCAAGGATAACATCCACACCAGGGGTATCCATGGAAAGGAACGTCTGGTCTACGGTCGTCTCCCTTCGAAAGTGGTCCCGGGCCTTGATCTTTACGGTCGCCGCTCCGTATATGGCAATCTCCTTGCCGTCCACAGCCCTCGCTCGAGGTGGGCCCTTGTCTCGGCACTCTAGGCCCTTATCTTTTGCGAAGAGGGGGTGGATAGTTGACGCGTCTGACCCCGAATCGAGTAGAGCCTTGGCCTTGTGCCAGGTAGGCCCTACTTTGATTTCAATGTCGATCTCCATCCTCTTCGCCTGAGTAGGGCGTAGGGCTTCGGTAGGGAGTCACTCCCGCTTGAGGAGCTGGGTATCCAGCTTCCGGACTCCCGGCCCAGTGTGCTGGCTATGGCAGTCCTTTGCAAAGTGGCCTGGTCTGCCACAGTTGTAACAGGCGTTCCCTACTTGGGTAGGCCTTGCGCCTTGGGTGTCGGCTGGCTTGCGCGCAGGTTGTTGGTCCGATCGACGGCGATCCTGGAAGGGCGTTCGCTCCCGGTGATTGCCCGACTTGTGGCTATTGAAGTGGCCCTTCCGAGCTGGAAAGCCACCCTGCAGGGTTCCCTTATTCTCCCTTATGTTGGGCCTATCCGTAGAAGGATTCTTCTCAGTTACCCACCGGTGATCACCAGGGCAGGAATAGGCGTGCGTAGGCTGAGCACTACTCGCTCAATACTCGGCTCACTCGCTCAGTGGGTTACTCAGCTGGGTGAGTAGCTGAACCTTTTACTCGACTCGGTGAGTGAGGTCAATACTCAGTTACTCTGTAAAAACCCAGTGAGTACTCGGCTATCACGTGTAAGATTTATGCATCATGTGAACAGTCCCTCATACGATTAATACTGTTTTATGGTTAAGTTAAAGTATTACATCTATCAGCATCACTCTCGCCATCTCTAGTAAGCTGTGAGAACGAATCATGTATATTCCTCTATCTAAGTACCACGATTATCAGAAGATTATCAGAACGCTATTATCTATTATATATGCTTAAGAACATCTCTCCACCTTGCTTGATGAGGCCGGCCAGACCTACTAATACCTAAAGTATTTATGGGGTCTTGACGAGTAGCTTGAAAGATATCAAGTAAATCTCTTCCAGTCTTCCGAGCATGTTGGATAGGCGTTGGTGGCGAGGACGGCATATCCTTATCTTCATCTTCATGAATAGTTGGAATAGGCTCCTCATTATTACCATCTTCTCTTATATCTTCGTTATCTAGGATATCGTCATCTGGGATGTCGTATAAGGTCTCGTTAAGATGGTCAGCCCTATCTCTTTCTTCACCTTGTTGGTAGCGCATTTGTCGTTCTTCATGTGCAGCTTGTGATAAGTCTTGCTGTTGCTGTGGCCGCTGAGGGTTAAACGGAGGATATTATACCTTTGAAATCTCGGATATGTGTATTTGATAGTAGTTCTTCTTCATCGCTGATATATTGCGAGTCAATTAGGATTACGAGATGCAGATATGGATCCATTAGCCTTAGTATTGCAGCAAAGTCAGACATTAAATGGGACTCGGGGCCAGAGAGAGGAATATGTGAATGAGGCTGATCTCTATCTTGATGCTCGTAAATTTCTGGTAATCTTCTAGTAATCTTATTCTAACTTGTATAGCACATGTGTACACAAAGATATTGCTATTTTGGCAACAAAAGGAAGAGCAATTTCCTGGTCTATCAGCAATGGCTCGTGATAACTTTGTATTCCTGCTGCTGAGTCTGGAGTTGAGCGAGTCTTTAGTGCTGCAAGGGATGTGTGTGGCCACCGACGTGGCCAACTTAATCCTGAGACGATTAAGAGTATTATGCTTGTATATTACTCTCGACAATACAAGAATCGTCAATGTCATCGTGACAAGCTTGCGGATATGATGGACATCGTTGATATGACTGAGGAGCAAGTGGAAGAAGAGTATGAGGCTCAAGTTTTATTGTCCGCAATACTATCAAGCATTATTTCCACATCTCTCATCATCGAAGTGTTGTTTGACGCATTATCAGTCATAATGGATATAATTCGTCCTTCTAAACGCTGCCTTGTGATAACTTTTTCAAGTATTCCACATAACTCAGCACCAGTATGCTCTGTATATATAGGTTCAAAGCCAATCAAGACCTCTTCCAATGACGGTCGATAAACGATGCAATAACACCCATAAACGAAAGTCGAGTAACACTTGACCAACAGTCGAGCGATAATGCAATCGTTGAACCAGGAACAACATCTTGTAGCATCTCTTCTTCGATTTGTGTGAGCTTTGTTGTTAAGAGGTTTCAAATAGTTGTTGCTGAGGGTAGTGGATAGTGAGGATTCTGTAAGATAGCAAGCCTTTTCCATTCAGTATCCTCGACTGAGCAGAACGAGCTATGAGTCGAGATAACTGTGTATAGAACTTGTTCATAAAATGTCTCTTGTGTGAGAATATGATCCTATTATAGATATTAACCTACATGATTCTGGTAATAATCTGGTAATCCTTACTTATTGAGGTCACATTTAATTGATTCGCATTTGATAGAGACTATACTTACCCATCTGTGACTTCTTTTTGCAAATGTCCGATGCAAGATGTGTTGCCATAGACTTTGGGCCAGCAGACTTGATTGCAGGATGCGTAAGGGCCTTCAAACAATAAGCACAAATGACACATGGTTCTCCAGAAAGCTGGTCTGCTCCTTGGTGATAACTTCTCCAGTATTGAGAACTCCGGTTCGTTGAATCCCATGCAATCTTTGTAAGGAGTTTTGTAGTATGATCTGAGTGTTGTTGGTTTAATTTGCCAATATATTCTAGGCCTGCAGGGACTTGATTTAACGAGGATAGTCGTTGAGAAGATGGAAAAGAGTCTGAGAATACATCTGCAATAGGATTGTCAGAATCAAACAACTCTGAGTATTGAGATGACATTTGGCAAATTGCTCGATTATCAGAAGGTTACCAGAAGTCTGGCTACAATGAAGTACTTAAATTTTTCTATAGCCCCTATTCGCGTTGGAAAACCAGGTACTCCGGCGCTATAACTTTAGCAAACTCAAGTTCTCCTCTACTCTAGCTCCAGGAACAACATATCCTGCGCAGCTGATACCTTAGCCAGCTTTTCCTTATCAAATTTCTTAGAGTAGACAAGTAAGAATGCCTCTTTGAAGCGAGAACTATGAGTGGAGACTTGCAACCATCCATTGTCGACAAGATTGTAAGACTTTGGGTACCACTGCGCAGGTCCTGGTAATTGGGCCCACTTTCCAAACTTTCAAGCTGTAAAGTTTGTCCAAACTGCCTGCTCGTACAAACAGAAATATTTATGTGGTGGGATATGTAAGGATGCCTTCTCGTCTCTCATTCTAGGGAGACTCTGGGTAGCTGCAGGATCACGTGTGATCATTTGGGTGGGCTAACTGAGTCGGAACCGAGTCGGATGGGTTTCGGGTACTTGAGACAATCGACTCACGGGGTTCCCCCATCATCTTTTTTGTATCCTTCATAGTAGACCTATAGGATAGCATCCGTTTAGCCTCCGACTTGCACTCTCATATTCTATTACTGTGAGCTGGGTGCCCTGTGTCCTTACAGGATAACCTCGTGAAAAGTGCTATAATAAACAATTAGTATTGCCAGAAGATTGCTAGGATGATCAGAGACATACCCTTCCTCTACATCAATCCACGGCATATATATAATGCTGACTTCTAAACGATAGAAGACACAGAGGTTTCTTGCGTAAGGTTGACTTGACAGAGGAGGGAGGGGATTAGACACAAAGGCTTTCCAAGTAACACGTTACAGTATTGTAAAGAATACTATATTGAGTTGAGCACGAAGCTCCTATCTAAGGAAATACTATCTACTTATATAGTGGCGTCGTGCCTCATGGGTAATCTGGATAGTTGGTGGATAGCTAGATATTCAGGATAGTTCGTGGATAGCTCAACTATCCAATATCCACTACTCGGTGTTCCACCCACTCGCTTCGCTCGTAGGTGGCGACAGCAAGTTGTGCGTGCGACAGCAAGATGTGCGACACATAAAACGAAGAAAAAGACGCCTTATATATCAACTATATAACTATATAATTAAAACATAAAATCAATAGAACTACTATCACTATCGCTACTGCCACTATTGCTACTATCACTTTGATCCTTACTATACCGTAAAATGATCACTTTTGATTTCAACCCTTCCTTCTTCCGCTCTGCTACCCGCTTCCTCTCAACCTTACGCTCTTCAATTTCGATTTTACGTGCTTGCGCTTGTAGCTGCTTTACTACTTGGTCCGATTCCCTTGCTGCTCTTGCGTCTGCTTTTGCTTGCAACTTTGCTTTCTTCTCTTCCCGCATTTTCCGTGCATCTGATGCATATAACTGCCCTCCTTTCTGTAGTGATTTCCGTGCCCTTGCCTTTGCTGCCTTCTGCTCTACTGCACGTAGAGTCATAATATCTAGCTCGGTCTTATAGAGCTCTGCCCGGTGTAGAACAACTGTAGTTCCACGTGCAAATGATTGAAACCCTTCTCTTGAAGGCGATGAGAAAGCTTCCTCTGCTCTCTTCTGCCAATGTTCAACCGCTTGCACACTTTGCATAGTTGTTTTCGGTGTTGAGATAATATTATATGAAGCAAATGGCTCATAATCAGGTGTTTGATTCCGAGTCTCTTGTATCTTGTCAATTACAAGTGGAGGATTATATGGATATAGTCCTGTATTTCTCCAACCAGATTGAATTGTACGGACAGTTAGAGATTGCCGTCGGATTTGCGGGAGGTCTGAAAGGAACGTACGTAGCTTATACTCATAGTCGTAGCTACGTACTGCTTGATCAAGTGCCTTTTGATGAAAGTGTTTGCACTGCTTAAAAACCGCTACATCAAGAGGTTGTAATAGATGTGTTGTATGAGCAGGAAGGCAGCAAATAACAATGTTATGCTCTTCTGCTAATGTAAGAAAGCGCTCTGTTTTATGAGAGTCATGGCCGTCAAGTAATAAGAGGCGAGTATCATCTGGTGCCATATGCTCTGCAGATAGTTGGATAAAATGCATAAGGTATTGGATTGCAATGTCGTCGTTTGAATACCCGCTCTCATTTACAATAATGAGAGCATTTGGCTCAAGGTCATCATTGTACCATGAATCCATATGAAGTTTGCCAGGGATAATGATAGCTTCTGCAAGTGCAGCACCACTTGCATTTACTGCCTCAATTACAGTAACAGAGAGCCGATTCTCAGGATTATCAACAGTCCACTGCTTTACACCGATTGGTACAATAACAGCCGTAGACTTATAACACCCAATCATATAGCCTGTCTCATCAACATTCCATAAATTATATGGCTTTGTAATAAGGGCGTTATATGTGAGAAAGAATTCCTCAAACACCTCTTTCTTTTGTGCTTGCTTCCGATGTGTATTTAACGTCTTCGTGTGAATTGTATGAAATTCGGGGTGTGCTTTTAGAAAGCGTTGTAGCCACCGTTGTGATGGTATCGTACGATTAGGTCGTAAGTCTGCAACTGCCCGTAGTATCATAGATCGGTTGGCAGGGACCCCGCGCTCAAGTTGGTCGTATATGAATTGACAGACCGCGGTCTCTTGCGATTGAGATAAGACTCGATTGCTACCTCCGTGGGGTAATTGAGGAGACGTAGTACTCGTAATACGACGTCGGAGTGTCTCACGGTTGACATTGAATTTATTTGCAACCCAAGCAATTGTATATGTACTTGGTTGTTTTAAGAAGAACTGTTGGGCCTCATTAAGGCGAGCAATCATAGTAGGATCGTTATTTTGAGGCATTGTAGATACTACGTTATGAAGAATACTATTATTTTTTCTATATATCAAAATAGCGGTGTACGCACATCTTGCTGTCGCACGCACAACTTGCTGTCGCCACCTACGAGCGAAGCGAGTGGGTGGAACACCGAGTAGTTTCTGCAACTATCCATTAGCCCCGTCACATGGCAGCCTACCCCGCTTGCCCCCTGTGACTCACACGTCACGTTACTAGGCCCTGGTCCTGTAACCATGACATCACGTTACCGTAGCTGTAACAATATACTCAAAGAGACGCTCAGGCTTCTTTCTCAGCTTTCCAGCCTTTCTCGTATATGAGCGGATACATCTATCCCAGAAATGTTGCCACTTGCGGAAATTGGACTCTTCATGGGCCTATCAACTATTAGTATTACCAGAAGATTACCAGACTATGAGGTAGCATACATCAATGCGCGCTTGAGTTAAGAGAGCCTGGATGCTAGCGATCTCTTTATCGGAAAGCTCATCTGGTAGAACAGCCTCGTGATTTAAAATATCGTCGTGCCGTAACATAAGCTCCAACTCCAAATCGTCTTCAACCTCAGTATCCTCCCATTCGCTGTTATGATCGTCATCGATTGGAATACTTGAGATTCCCTCAAATGCAGCAAGCTCAGACAGAAGTTGTGGCGGAGTAGATGGTGGTGCTTGTGGAGAAGAAGAAGAGGCGCTAATATTCTTGACTTTCTGATTCGCAATGCAAGATGCATGGGTACCCTTCTCAGTCCTGTTTATAGTTAGATTGAGGCTACCAGAGATTACCAGAAGGAACTTACTGAACACGAATACGCTCAACCTTCAATTCATTCTGTAGACGTGTCTTGTCTTCAGTAGAGGCAGCGATATGCTTTGCAGACTTATATAACTTCTTTAAGTAGTAGCTCAGATCAGCATGGTCAGCCTTGAGTGCTAAGTGAACAGCCTTCTCATCTTCAGTAAGGTTGGAGACGCGGTTGCGAGCTTTGATAGTATTCACATTAGTGGAGAGTTCTTCAGGTGCCTTGCATTTCGCCATACTAAACACGTGATTAGCAGAAGATCGCCAGAAGTTCTGGCTATATAATCAAGATAATAAACTTACTTGAAGTAAAGGGAAGAAGAATGTGTAGATCGGAGAGTAACCAAGGAAGGTGGTTCTAAGGTCGTGGTTATTTTAAAGTTGCAAACAAAAATATTCGTGAAGGAATATTCACCTACAAAGAATTATTGTTCCAAAAGCAACACCACAACGCGCACCTTCATATAAAACCAGTGTTCGGCACGGGTAGGTATATACCTACATTTTTTTTTCTGAGAAACTACCCGGGTATTTCAAGTAGGTAGGTATATACCTGGGTATATGCCAAGCCTTGCCAAGTATTCGGAATCTAATGTCTTGAATAAAGTCGTGATATGCTCGTAATATGCATGCCATAACACACAATGAGCGACTCATCATTATCAGATGTGCCTATTGGCCTTGACGACATTGGCCTTGATGAGGTTAATGAGCCAACCTTACCTACCCTTATTCCGTCGCTCTGTCTCCAGACGCCACGCACAATGCTTCCACCAAGCTCCTCACTGCTATTTGTTAAGAATCTATATAGGCATACACTGTTGGACACTACACCACCAACTATTCAGGTTATCTGTAACCAGCCAGACTGCGGATACTCACCGCAGCCATTGGTATTCTCGGGTAAATCAACTGGCAACTTATGGAAGCACTACACCCAAAAGCACCCGCAAACTCATTTACCATGAGAAAGAATGACCAGCTACAAGCAGCATCAAGTCAGTCAAGTAGCTCATCATTCTTTGAGCTAAAGAAGACAACGGCTAAGCAGCCAGTCAATGCATCAAAGTATAGAGATTTACTGCTCCAATTTGTAGTATCAAACAATCTGTCATTACGCCTTGTTGATAGTCTATCTTTTCGTCAAATTATTCAATTCTTAAGCCCTATTACTTTGTCAGTATCTGCTAGAACGCTACACCGCGACCTTTAAAGGCGGTTCTCACTATGCCGTGCTCAGTTACAAGCAGAACTTCATTCTCATATTGCACATGGAGGCCGGATGTGCTTAACTACCGACTCGTGGTCTGCATGCAACTACACTGAATACTCTGCAGTAACAGCACATTGGATTAATAGCAAGTGGCAGCAGAAGTCAAATCTGCTAGATGTGATTCATCTGAAAGAGCCAATTCACAGCGGTGAATATCTTGCAAGCCAATTATATGCCGTTACAGATGACATGGGGATTACAGGTGCTATCTTTACATGCACACGAGATAATGCATCAGCTAACACTGTTATGCTTGCTGAGTACGAGCGCTTAGCTAGCAATCATTTGACTTATACGCAACAGCCATGGACATTCACTGTCAAGGAAGGCGATGTACGTTGTATTGCACACATTATTAATATCGCTGTTCAACATGCTTTAAAGACGCTTAATGCAGACCCTTCAGCAGAGGCAGAGACATATAGGTGTGAGCAAGGTGCTTCGCGAATCCCACGCACTGTTGATTCTCGTACAGAAGTTATGAATACACTTGCTAAGCTTCAGAGACATATCTATGTGTTTCGGAATCGCCGGTTATGGAAGGACGCTCTACAGAAGCAAACAATGGTAGCAGGCCTTAAAGTACAGCAATTATCACTTGATATGCCAGTCCGCTGGAATTCAACATATAAGATGCTTGAATCTGCAACAAAGCTACGAGTGCCAATTACAGCTATCTGTGCATCGCAGCAGTGGGATATTAGCATGAGAGATATTGCTCTTAATGCTGATGACTGGTCAACGATTAAAGAGCTTGAGCTATTTTTCGTTATCTTCTTACGCCCTTCGCAGAAGCTACAAGCTAGCACATACCCTACTCTTAACTACGCTATTCCACAGTATTTAAAAATGATTAACAAGCTTAATCATATGCTAAAGGAAGTAGGCGAGCAGTCTACAATTGGGATAGCATGCAACGCAGCACTTCACAAGCTAAATGAGTATTATACTCTTACAACAAACCAGCGGTATAGCCACCTAAGTGTAGCTACAATTTGTGATCCAAGAATGAATCTTGAGGTCTTTACAAGCTTGTGGCCAAGTAGTGGCGAGGCAAGTAAAAGGAACCGAGTAAGAGCACACTTTCAAGATGTCTTTACAAAGTATAAGACCCGTCAATATCATCTTGACACTGAGAGAATTGAGCAGCAGACGGAATTAGCTAATGCAGCAGTGCATGAGACTGATACGATGATTTATATGCTGCGCAAGGAACCTCATTTCAAGAACCTGAGTGGAAGCGGTGGGTACTTGAACCACGGCCAGGACAACAGACAGACATTCTCAAATACTGGTTATCAAAGCAGTATATGTATCCAATTGTTGCGCAAATTGCAAGAGACCATCTTGCAATTTCAGCAACATCTGCTGCATCAGAGCGGGTATTTAGTAATGGCTATCATAGTTATTATTAGCCTCATTTCTACTGTTCTGCACGACAATTTTATAGCAGAGCCTCATCTACCCGGGTATATACCCATACCTACCCGTGACATCCTACCTACCTACCTACTCTACCCGTGAAGCTCTGGGTATATACCCCAAGTGGTACCCGCCGAACACTGTATAAAACACATACCTTTCAACCTCTATCTCTTTTCTATACTCTTCTTCTGCAATATTCTTCCTACAAACTACTGTAAGTACACATATCTTTTGATCTACTTCTTTGTCTTGTGTTTACTTCACTAACTCACCTTGATATTAGCAAATGGCTCGTACCAAGCAAACTGCTAGGAGATCAACTGGCAGCACAGCACCAAGGATGCCACTTGGATTACGGGCTGGCTCTGGGCTTGGTGGAAAGGGAAAGGAAAAGGCTGTGGGCACAGCAAGAAAAGCTCCAGTTCGCTCATCTCAAGCTAGCAACAATCATGCTCAGAAGGCCACGCGCCGCGCAAAGTCTGGTAAGAGGATTACCAGAGGATTACCAGAATTCTCTAATAAACATATAGGCACCAAGGCTCTCCGCGATATCAGAAGACAGCAACTCGATACTAGCCTAATTATCCCTAAGCTCCCATTCCAGCGTCTTGTTAGGGAAATTGCAGAAGACTTCAAGTCCAATCTTCGCTTCCAGCAATCTGCTATCCTAGCTCTTCAGGAAGCTGCTGAATGCTTCCTCATTCGAGAATTTGAGAGTATGATGTTTAAACATAGTGACAGGGACATACTAACAGTTATAGTGACAAACCTTCTCGCTATTTATGCGAAGAGAGTGACAATTCAGGCAAAGGATATGATATTGGTTCGGCGTTTGCAGGATATGATGTTTAATCATGGAGCTGTGGGCTTAATTGATGGAAATGTGTCTCACCCAGGAATGAAGGTCAGATGAGTTCTGGCAACCTTCTGGTAACCTGGTACCTAAAGGCCAAAGGTTATAGTGTGGAATAGGACATCAACAATATGGGAATGGAGTTATGGAGTTATGGAGTTATGGCGTCTTGATCAATGAAGTCGCGCCCCGTTTTTAACATAAGTAATGGCTAATCAAACACGTGATATAACTGAGTTGCCAAGACCCATACTAGGTACTCAGCAAGTGAGTAATCCTCATTCAACAATACTCGGGACATGAGTGAGTAACTCAGCTGGGTGAGTAAAAATTCTACTACTCGACTCATGAGTACCCAGTGCGCAGCCTAGGCACCGCGCATCGATATTATCGGGAGGGATGGATTCATCCTGAACCAACTTCTGTAATTACCATCATCCTCAAGGATGGAGTCGATTGCAAGGATAAGTCAGTGGCTACCTGGTGTGGGTTCATTGAAACCGTGCGCCTCTCGTGGGAGTCTATGGAGCCCGTGCTCAGCTTTCAAACTGTCTGTGGCGACCACGGCAGGGTGAGACCATCGGGTGGTGCCCCTCAAAGCTTGGGATGTCCGTTTCTAGAGAGATAAGATCTCTGACATTTTCGCATAGTCGTAGCTTGCCATGAATGCCAGTGATGGTCTACGACTATCCATTTCTAGTTGTAACTCTCAGATTTACAAGAGACATCACACCCCTCTGTGCCTAATAGACTCTATCGCAACATGAGCAACGTACGAAAACGCCAAAGCCAGAATGCATCTAGAAGGAGAAGCACTTTGACCAACAAGGCCTATGAGTACGCGGAATTATACGGCGCAGATGTTGCCTTGATCATCTACCAGAAGGGCTGCTACTACACTTACGTATCTCCTGGTAGTCCATGTTTTCCACCATCCAAGAAAGAAATTGTAGGTTCTCTTCTGACTTTGACGACTTTTTACTAAATAGTGGCAAGATGAATTCTTTTCCAATCCCAATAAATATGTTGCCACATGACACTGACGTGAAATGTCAACGGAAATGCAATTCAGAAGATCCAGAGCAATTGAGGAGTAAAGAGAAGGGGTGCGAAGATACAAATATTGCCACGGCGCCAAGACGGAATGAGGCCCCCACCACATGAGCAGGTTCATGCACGTAAATCAGACATGTTGCTATGATAGTGTAGAGTATGTATAAGCGACTTTCAATTTATATTTGCTGGCGTTCATCCTCGCCTGAATCAGGACAGATCATGTCATTAAATTTACGTCTTCTATCTCTTGCATTTGTTAAATCTGCCTGTTCAAATGTGAAGAAGAGACTGCCAATGACGGAATGAGATGTTCACCATGGTTAATGGCCAAAAATCGTAACCGATGGGCTGGAAAATCAATGGGTAGAAGGTTATTGGGTGGAGGTTCCATGGGTGGAAGGTTATTCGATGGAGGATAAATGGGTGGAGGTTTAATAGGCACGGCACGAGTGAGCGACGAGGACAGAATAGAGGTGGTTAGTTAACCCCTGTCGATCGAGCCTGATTCACCACAGATAGTTCTGATGGCACTTTGGAGGTACGTACCGGTACGTACTGCCTACGTTACCCTGGAGTTGTGAGGATCGGCCTAGGAATAAACAAGGGCTTTCGCAACCTCTTCAAGCAAAAAGGTCACAAAAGCGCGAACGTTGGCTAAGTTGCAGTGTGAGTCATATTGTTCTATTGCTTTCTATAGTTTCTATCCCTAAGATAATGACGTCGTCTTACGAAAGCCCTTTTCCTGCACCCCACTTTGTTCATCATTACTTCCTCTCTTTCTATCTCATTCTTGTCAAGCCAGTGACAAGAACTTCTGCTGTCTCAGTCCTCACCAGATCATCAAAGCAGTCACGCCAGAGAAAGTATCCCCCTCTTCTTGTTGAAAGATATTTCCCAGAATCAGCTACTCGTAGAGCCTGTGCATTGACTGCATCCTTCAAAAATGGCGCCTCATGAACTGTGACCCCCTCTTCAGAAAACATCACGACCTGCTGCCGACGATTGCTGGTATGATGAGAATCTGGTATTGTAGCCTCATGTCAATTTCAGCAAAGTAATATCTACATTCACATGATCAGACATACCTCGGGTGCCGAGTCGTTCGACATCTCGTGCCTTTGAGCGATATCATCCACCTGCTCAGCTGTTCTAGCTATTCTACTCAGTATCGACTCATTGACAAGAGCATGGTGTGTCTCTTGGGGGGAGGCTTTGTCATCTTCTGTCCTTCGCTCTAATGGATCCAGGATTTGGGGATCTGATGATTTCATGGTGAAAACTATGTTCCCCTCCGATATCAATAGAAAAACTCATTGTTGGAGTAGAGGATCGGTCCGTTTCTTTTAAATCCTCCAGTATTTATATAAATTTCCATTCGGACTCACCGCATGGTTATCTGCCGGGGAGTTATCGGTATGATCAGGTGGTGCTTAATTTGAGAGGACTTGTGCCTGAAAAGGGCCATATTACGTTTCCTTCTCGCTAAGCTGTCTCAAGATTGAAGATGTGTTCGTCACAAAGAACAAGTATCAATAAAGCACTGATCGCCCATACCCATGCCTTCATGAGTGCGCTTAGCCATAAGCACAAGAATTTCTCGGTCCCCAAGCAGCCGCCTCTTTGCCGCCTGCCGTCACGCTGTGCCCACCCCAAGCTCCGCTCTTAGGTGGTAGTGACAACTGCCTTGCTATCACTAAATCTCCCCTTGTACCTATGCTCCTACTAATTACAAGCCGGAAACAAAACCCCCTCGGATCCACTTGAAATAAGTTAATTTAGTGCCAAATGAACCCTCACCTGCATTTTCGAGAAAGTTTCTTACCTGTAGCAGTCACGTGGGAAAGTATGGCTCTCTTATACTTAATGTCACTCTCTAGCTATATTACTCTCTACTCGCCCTAGCAATCCTGGTTGCAAATTACTCTGCAATGTCATGATACCGTTGCCATTTTTACTATGCACCCACGTGACTCTCAAAGGAAATGGAACTTCTGACATTTTACGGTAGCTCATTCCCATCAGTGCAGACAACCATCTTCCATGCATGGTAAGTGTGAGACAGATCTTCGGTGGCCTTGCGTTTCAAACCGATGACTCTCTTGGTTGCATCCGCGTGGAGCTTCGCTACAGATTCATGCATCCTATCAATAGCAAGCTCGTCTTCTGCAATAAGGAGGATTGTGTGTGTCCTATTATTGACGACTATCTGAAAGCACATCATTCACATATATGTGTTGAAAGCCCTGATTCCTCTTGTCATGACCAACCGTTCGATGTTATACGGATCCTTTGGATCGACTGCGAGTGGTGTTAGGTATTTCCAAGTATTGTCCTCCCATTTGACAAGGTTGATGTCTATCTCCCTCTCCAGTCTCCCCCTCTCCAGTCTCTCCCTCTCCAGCCTTTCCTTCTCCAGCCTCTCCTTCTCCAGCCTCTCCATCTCCAGCCGCTCCCTGTCCAGCCGCTCCAACCACGCCTCCCATCGCTTTTTATGTTCCAGAAGCTTCCGCTTCCACCTTTCACTCTCGGCTGGCGTCGAGCTGCTCGTAGGCTGCTCTGGCTGTCCACCATCACCCATTCCTTCCGCCTGGGTTTGGCTTGGACCTGCTTCTGGGACAAACAGGCCCCCGTCATCTTCTGCAGGTTCTAGTGCACTAGGTGGCCAGTCCATTCGGGACCCGACCATGTGCTGTTGACCATCAGGGCTTGGGCCATGAGGTAAATCTCCGAAGTCTGGAGCAGGAGGGAGAGATGGAGAGCGGCCATGGCTACTACCCTGTGCAGTTGGCCTCCATGTCGGCCAGCCAAAGAAGGCGAGATAAACTTGTTTTCGGACGAAGAATTTCGTGATGCCTTTGCCTTGCTGGTCACTCTCGTCATGGAGGTGATTGGTAAACCAGAATTTCCGGTCCTCGTTGAATTTCGGCCTGCGTGGGGTGCCGCATCTATGGGCTATCCCTACTCTGGATCCTGACATAACAAGGGGGGGATGCTTCGATGGTGGGGTTTGCTCTGCGAGTGCAGCTGGATACTGCTGCAAATGCTTTATCCTGGTACTAGTAAACCCCAGCTGGTCTCCCAGGTCAGCAAAGCGGCGGAGGACGGCTCGGTCTGCCATCGCTGCCGGCTGCATCACGCGGCCCTCCTTCACTGGTTCCCTCGGCATATCCGCGAAGTGCCGCATGGCATACGCAATGATCTGCCAGTATCCAAGATCAACTTGGTCTCCGCGCATCCCCTGCCCGTACACAAAAGCATTCTCGGCGACCTGAATCTTAGTCTGGCCATCCATGATCTGAACGCGGCCGTCCTCTTGATCAACGGGGGAGAATAGTTGCTTAAAGGCATGAGAGATCTGCTTGACGCAGTTCGCAAGACACTCCTGTCATACTGACATTCGTTGCACTCAGTTTGCTATCAAACTCAAGAGCAAACTTAGAAATCTCCTCCTCAAACCTACAAGTTACTATACATATTTTGGCTTGTCACACCTACAACAAGAGCAATACTACTCAACGATTGCTACAACTCTCTATGATTTATTACACGTCATTGCTCCTTAGTTACTGGGCCGATATGACCACATAGCATATCTCTACAACCCTCTTTCATTACATGACATAACTCCTTAGTTACTGGGCTAATACTACACATGACATATCTCTATCAACTAGAGGCCTAGGAACATGAACGATAGCTCCAAAAGCTTCTACAACCGTCTATGATTCATTACACGTCATCGCTCCTTAGTTACCCACAAGATTGGTTAAGTTATGACATAATTTGTCTATAGGGGTACTCTGACCTTGGACCTCCTTTCACTTCCTATAGGCTAGGAACCTAGGAGATGGTTCTATGGGATTCTCTTATGTCGACTACAGTTACCAAGCCTGGTTAGTCATGGAAAGTCTTGGAAAATGAGAGAACTACACTCCTTTAGCATAAATAGGATTGCCCTTTCCTTAAGAAAGGGCAAGCAGACAATACAGTAAATCGACTATCACATACTTCCACCTTTTTTCCAAGCTTCCAAGCATTGATCTTGTTACTCCTTGTTTCTGAAAAGTCAGTGAGGTGCTAACCTCTGACTTATCCCTGAGTTCTCAGACTCAACATTTGTTACAACTTGTCTAAACCACTCCACTATATCATACACCTGATTGCTGTGTTGTGGAATAGTCTAAGCTACGATCCTTTGTCTCTTTTTCCTAAGACAGTGTGTTGTCTTAGTAAAATCATCCCTTACTTGGGTGGCTAGATTCTCACATCTGGTGCACCCACCATTACACCTAGTGTGTTGAAGCGGGCATATGGTCAGCAGATTGAGACCTTCATTAAGGCTCATATCAACCACATTACCAAGGTCGAGTTCTTTCTTGCCTTTAGAGCAGCATATCTGGAATCCATGACAGCCCAAAACGCCCAGTCCGGGTTCTGCGGAGCTGGCTTAGTGCCTTTCGACCCGCAAGCAGTGCTTTCAAAGCTTGACGTGAGGTTACAGACTCCAACTCCCTCTAGACCCTCTACTGCCAACACCAACCCTTGGGTGTCCCAGACCCCTTCCAACCCAACTGAAGCTCTTTCACAAACAACCCTCGTTCGAAATCGAATTGCCCGTCACCAAGGAAGCTCGCCAACTCCACTCTTCGGGACACTTATTGCATTGGCAAAGGGTACGGAGCGACTAGCAGATGAGAACACCCTTCTGTCCGCTGAGGTACGTACGCTTCGAGCAGCCAAGGAAGCCCTTAGCAAATGCCGCAGGGCTAAAAAGGCTCGTGGCCATGAAGGAGGTGCACTTATAGTATAGGATGCATAGGATATTATCGCACAGAAGGATGTGGATGAGCAGGTATGGCGCGACATACGTGTGGTTGGGGGTAGTCACAAGGAGGGGCAACCGTCTAGGCGATGCTGTGGGATCTGTGGAAAAGCTGGCCATAATGCGCGAACTTGTCAAGAAGCTATAGATATGTCTAGTTCATCTGATTCTACTTAGTTATAGTTAATTTAATAATGTGCATGTATAACGAGTCGGCCACCCAAGCGAGTCGGCCACTTTCCACCATTTCCACCATCTTTTACTTTGCAACTATTTCCCTCTACCTACAAAAATGGAATCTACTTCAAACGAAAGCCGTATAATCCTAGCAATTGAAGCTCTTAAAAACGACCCTAAACTTACCGAACGAGCTGCAGCAGGTATCTATAAGGTTTCCTGGGCGACTTTGGCTAACCGACGCGCTGGAAAACTATCAAGACGCGATATAACTGCAAATGGGAGGAAGTTAACCAATACTGAAGAGAGTGTGCTTCTTGATCATATTATTGATCTAATTGAGCGAGGATTTCCGCCCCGGCTCGAAGATATACAAGATATGGCCAATCGCCTACTTGGGGTACGCGATGCAACGCGTGTTGGCTCACAATGGGCAGGGAACTTCGTACGACGCCAACCAGTCCTTAATATGCGTTTTCGACGTCGAATTGACTACCAGAGGGCCCTAGCTGAAGATCCTAAGATTATACAAGCTTGGTTTGCACTTGTACAGAATACAATTTCAAAATACGGTATTGTCAACTCAGACATCTACAACTTTGATGAGACTGGGTTTTTGATGGGAATGCTCTTGCATGCTAAGGTTGTAACAACCTCTGATCGACGGGACAGACCTCGTACAAAGCAGCCTGGCAATCGGGAATGGGTTTCTGTAATCCAGGGTGTATGTGCAGATGGCTGGGCAATGCCGCCATATATCATTGTTAAGGGCAAATATCACCTCCTCTCCTGGTATCCAACGGCCAATTCCCACCAACCTGGCGGATCCATCCGAGCGAAAATGGCTGGACTACAAACGCTATAGGCCTAGATTGGTTGAATCACTTTGAGGGATGTACTAAGCCTCGTACAACTGGTGGATATAGACTTCTAATCCTCGACGGCCACAACAGCCACCGGGCTACTGAATTTGACGATTTCTGCAAGCTTAACAATATTATACCGCTTTGCATGCCTCCCTATTCATCGCATATCCTCCAGCCTCTCGATGTAGGCTGTTTTAGTTCTTTAAAAGCTTCGTATAGCAAGGCAATTGAGCAGATGATGCGGAGGCATATAACTCACATTACTAAAGAGGACTTCTTTCCTGCCTTCCAGCAGGCCTTTTTTGCTTCAATGGGAGAAGAGAATGTACGAGCTGGCTTCTGAGCAACTGGCCTTGTTCCATACGACCCTGAAACAGTAATTTCTCGGCTGGATTTTAAGCCTAGAACGCCTACACCGTCAAACTCTCGGCCAGGAACCGCTACCTCCTGGGGTCTAAAAATGCCAACTACAGCAATTGAGGCTGTACAAAGCTCTACTACCTTGAAATCTAGGATTGCTAGGCATCAGGGTAGCTCTCCAACCCATTTATATAACGTAGTTGACGCCCAGGCTAAAGGTATCTCAATGCTAGCACACAGACTAGTCCTTCTTGAAGCTGAGAACCAGGAGCTTTGTACAGCAAATGAGCTACTAAGCAATCGCCGGAGGGCTAAAAAGAGCCACCTACAGCTTGGAGGTTCGCTTTCAGCACCTGAAGCTAATGCGATACCGCTAGAAAAGGGTATAGTTGATGCTAGGAGAGAAAATACACGTAGGGAGGGTAGTTCTACAGAGCGGGCTCAGCTACGTACTCGGCGTTGTGGCAACTGCAGCCAAACTGGTCATAATTCGCGAACTTGTCAGGTAGTTTGGGAGACGTCTGAAGATGGCGATTCTGAGTAGTTTTAATTGATTTAAGGCGTTGTAGTTGAATTGATTTATATAATATATAGGTGGTCGGTGGAAAGTGGCCGACTCGCTTGGGTGGACTCCTTATATATGTACGTTATGTTATGGTTGATTTATTAATATTCAAAGTAGAATGCCAAGGAAAAGTGTCCAAGTTACTGATAACTTGGACACTTTTCCTTGGCATTCTACTTTGAACTAAATAAGGATATAGATATTAGCTTACCTAGTTGTATTTTTTTAGGCCCTTGTATATCTTTAGTATGCCTTGTGTAAGGATGCCTTCTCGTCTCTCATTCTAGGGAGTAGACTCCGGGTAGCCGCGGGGTCACGTGTGATCATTTGGGTGGCCTAACCGAGTCGGAACCGAGTCGGATGGGTTTCGGATACTTGAGAAAATCGACTGACGGGGTTCCCCATCTTTTTCGTATCCTTCGTAGTAGACCTATAGGATAGCATCCGTTTAGCCTCCGACTCGCACTTTCATATGCTATTACTGTGAGCCGGGTGCCCTGTGTCCTTACATCGTGATAGGATAAAAGGAACAGCTCCCCGATGCAACACACCCTCAAATACTCAAAGGCTTACTTCTCAAGAAGAGGAAGCTATCGTACGATACATTCTCGACCTTGATTCGCATGGATTCCCACCTCAGCCAGCTGCTGTACAAGAAATGGCGGACCTACTCCTCGCTGAATGTGACGCGTCACCTGTAGGTAAGAATTGGACCTCGAACTTTATCACGCATTGTACGGAGATTAAAACGAAGTTCGGAGGAAAATACGACTATAAAAGAGCTCTTTGTGAAGATCCAGTGATTATCAGAGACTGGTTTAATCTCGTACGAAACACGGTCGCAAAGTACGGAATTCAAGAGGAGGATATATACAACTTTGATGAAGCTGGGTTCTTAATGGGAATGATTGCTACTGCTAAAGTAGTCACTAGCTCAGAGTCAAGGAATCGTCCGAAAGCTACACAGCCAGGAAATCGAGAATGGGTGTCAATTATACAAGGAATCAACTCGTACGGGTGGTCAATCCCTCCATTCATTATTTTCAAAGGAGCAACCCACCTCTCATCATGGTATAACGATGACGAGGTACAACTCTCCATGTGATTGGGTGATTACATTAAGTGAAAACGGGTGGACTACAAATGCAATTGGTTTTGAGTGGATTCAGCATTTTGAGAAACATACTCAGAGTCGTACGAAAGGAGTATATCGTCTCCTAATTCTTGATGGCCACGAGTCACATATTTCAGTCAAATTCCAACAGTATTGTCAAGAGCACCTAGGGTAATAATTAGGTGCTCTTAACAATACTGTTGGAATTTACCCTCTGTATTCCCCCACATTCATCACACCTCCTCCAGCCTCTTGATGTTGGGTGTTTTAGCCCACTAAAGTCCTCGTACGGAAAGCAGGTCGAGGGTCTAGTACGACTCCGTATTCACCATATCACAAAGCTTGAGTTCCTCTCTGCCTTTAAAGAAGCGTATAAAGCTGCATTTACAGAGCAGAATATTAAGAGTGGCTTTCAAGCAACAGGTAATTATAATAATCTTTATAGTAAATACTACTAACTTAGTTATAGGGTTAGTTCCGTACGATCCAAATACTGTCCTTTCGCACCTTGATTTTTGACTAAAAACACCAACCCCACCACCTGTTGAAAAGGAGACTTGGACCTCAAAGACACCCCAGAATGCGACTGAAGTTGAATTCCAAACAACACACCTTAAGAATCGAATCGTACGACATCAGAATAGCTCTCCAAGTTCAATAAATGAGGCATTTAACCAGCTTGCTAAAGGAGGTCAAATAATGGCCCATTCATTTACACTCCTTAAAGCTGAAGTCAAGGCGCTACAGCAGGCGAATGCGCTCAAAAAGCGAAGGGCAAACAAGCGAAGGAAGCGTATTCAATTAGGTGGAAGCCTGACAATTGAGGAAGGAGATGAGCTCGTACGGAGTACTCAAACTCAGGAGGAGGAGGGTGGTGATGCCACACAGGGTCAGCGCAGGAAAGGGAAACCACGACGATGTGGCACATGTAATCAAGTTGGACATAATGCTCGTACGTGCAAAGAGGTATTAGATTCAATTACTGTAGATAGCTAGAGTGTTTTAAAGGGTTGTTGTTATAATATACCTACGAAGTTGTATTTTGGTGGTTATTTTGCACGGTTCGACCGGGTGCACGGTTCGATTGGGAAATACATTATATGCTTTATAAATAATCATGATTAACGTACATGTATAGCGAAAGCGCCAAACAAGCGAAAGCGCCAAAATTATCTACCCTCACGACAAACATTGCGATAAATCTACCACAACATTAGAAATCAATTGAAACTACTCGGAGTCCTCTTCCTCAGAGGTGTCTATTACAATCTGACACGTGCGCGCATTGTGCCCAGTCTCACCACACTTGCCACAGCGACGGGCACGGGTTTCTTCCCTTGGCTTCCGACCACGGCTTGCCCTTATTTCCTGCTCTACCTGCTGCACAACATCCCTCTCATCCTGTAGCTCTTGCGCCCCTTGTTGACTAAGTGATCCTCCTTGCTGTAGTCGTGTTTTCCTAGCTCTCCGGCGCTTGCTTAGTACTTCATTTGCCTGTCGTAGGTTTTGGTTCTCTCCCTTTAGCAGTGCTAATTGATGCATTATTTGCGATGCACCCTTTGTAAACTGGTCAACAGCTGCATAGATTGAGGTTGGAGAGCTATTTTGATGGCGTGAAATCCGAGTTTTAATAAATGTAGACTGTGACATAGCTTCAATTGGGTTGTTTGGTGTCTGAGAAACCCAAGGTTGAGCAGTACCTGGGCGGGAGCTTGGAGGCGTTGGTGTCCTTAACTTAAGATCAAGTGTAGATATCACTCTCTCAGGGTCAAATGGAAGAAGCCCTGCCCCTCGGAACCCGCCTCAAATGTTACTTTCCGTCATTGTAGTGTTAAATGCAGCGTGGAAGGCAGGAAAGAAGTCATCCTTTGTAATATGAGAAATATGAGCCTGCATCATATCTTCAATTTGCCGACCATAGGCCTGCTTTAACGGGCCAAAACAGCCAACATCAAGTGGCTGGAGTAGATGAGAAGAGTGAGCAGGCATACAAAGCGTAATAATGTTGTGTTCCTTGCAGTACTCCTCAAACTCATCTGAGTGGTGGCTCTCATGACCATCAAGGACTAACAAGCGATAACCACCAACACTCCGGGCCTTTGTATGCTTCTCAAAGTGCTGAATCCAATCCATGCCTCTCTCGTTTGTAGTCCAGCCATTTTCAGTAACAGAAATCACCCAATCGCTTGAAAATCCACTATTCTCATACCAAGATGTAAGGTGGTTTTTGCCTGCAACAATGATAAATGGTGGTACTGCCCAACCTTGAGAACTAACGCCTTGGATTACTGTAACCCATTCCCGATTACCAGGCTGTACCTTCTTTGCTTTTGCCCGCCCGTCTGAGCTTGTTACAACCATAGCAGTTGAGATAACGCCCATCATAAACCCAGTCTCATCAAAGTTGTAGATATCTGCTTCATCGATACCATATTTCGCAATTGTGTTACGCACAAGCTCAAACCAGCCATTAATAACTTCTGGATCTTCGCACTTAGCCCTCTGGTAGTCGTATTTGCGCTGAAAGCGTGTCTGGAGCTCTACACGCCGCTTAACAAAGTTTGAAGCCCAACGCGACCCAACGCGTGACGCGTCGCGTGTTGCAAGTAGTCGACTTGCCATATCTTCAACAACAGACAGCCGAGGAGGAAACCCTTTGGCAGCTAGGTCGAGTATATACTGAACAAGGACGTACTCCTCTAGGTTAGTTAATTTCCGTGAGTTGGCTTGGATATCGCGTCGTGAAGGTACACCTTCTAGACGACGACCTAGCTTGCGGTGGTCCACAGAATAGATCCTAGCAGCAACTCGAAGGCGTAACTTTGGGTCGCTTTGCATAGCCTGGATAGCTAGCACTAATTGGCTTTCATCGTTTTTATGGGGCATGTTTTGTTGTTGAGGAATTTAACATTTAGTTGGGGGGTTTGGTCACCGCATCATTTTGGCGCTTTCGCTTGTTTGGCGCTTTCGCTATACATGTACGTTATGATTACGACTACATAATCATGATTATAATTGATTTTCTAACCCTGATAATAGTAACAATTTATCCGCTTTAGATAAAATTATCTATAGGACTAGAGACTACATCAACCACTAGTGATGAACGGAGTGGAGATCGCGCCTCGACCAGTGTGCAAGATATTAGGGGTCCATCTAGATGAACAATTGTACATGAATACCAGCTTTACAAAGCTGCAGCCAAGGCAACGGTTTAAGCCACAGCTCTGTCTACACTCTGAGGGCTTTGACTACAAGCAATGAGAATAGTAAATCAATCAATCAATCAATTTCTAATACATCTGCTAAGAGAGAGCGTGGGAATATTGATTTCCAGTATAGCGTTTCATTATACCCAATACAATATCATCAGCTTCACTTTGGAGTATTTATTACTAGCCCCAAAGTATTGGGTAACAGTAGTTATTGTTTAAGCATCCTCTCACACTCTCCCTTCGCTTCGGCCACCATTCGCCCAACATCGAAATCCCAGAGGTTTTTCGAACGGCTCTCGATGTCGGCCTTGATCTTAGCGGGATCGCTTCCTGTGGCCGGATGTCTCCACTCGTAAATGTCACCCATCTCCCGCGAGCTGCGAACTAGCCACTGCGAGCGCTCAAGGCGGACAGTACTGTACGCTTGCAACGCTGCGGATACGGCTTTAATCTTGCTGAGCCCGCCCGCTTTGGACAAGGCCGTTTCCAGCACAGAGACCAGCACCAGTGCGTCTTCGACGCCCATGCACGCGCCAGCACCGTGGAAGGGGCTGCTAGCATGGGCAGCGTCGCCGGCGAGGCAAACACGCCCACGCGCGTACGTGTCGGCGGGATTGTCGGCCATGTCGAAAATGGCCCATGCGAACACTTGGTCGGGCATCCTTTCTACTAGGTCTCGGATATGTGGGGCCCATTTGCTGAGCGCTGGGGCCAGTTCAGACTTGCTCACCTCCCGAGTCATCTTGTGTGGATCTGGCCACGGCTTCGGGTCGTGCACGAAGATAAATACGTTTGATAGCGTCCATTGAGCAACCTGTGGATCTGTTAACTCTGGCGTTCACTCGTATAGCATCCCAACCCTGACCGGTCTACCGAGCGGTAGACTGAACAGTTGCAGGTTTAAAACTTACGGGGAAGGAAAGCATATGGGCATCCGGACCCATGTGCGCGCACTGGTTGTTCGCCTTGTCATCACCCAGAGCGGCGACAGCGTCGGCGATGGGGATTATGGCGCGGTAGGCAACCTTGTGGGTGAAGCTAGGGTGCGACGCTGGGTTGTCTTCGCCTAGCAAGAGTCGCCGCGCTGTTGAGTGGATTCCGTCGCATGCGATTACTGTACATACAACGCCGTCAGCGTCACGTTTGTGTACAAGACCAACATCTGGCCATGTGTTGTTGATGGGGTGGGCTCAGACGCACCTGCATCTGCCTGAGCGATGCTGCCATCAGCGAATCTAAGCTGGACGCCTTCGGCGTTCTCCGAGTAGCTCTCTAGGAATTTCCCAAACCTGATGACTCCGTCGGGCAACGACTTGGCCATCTCGCGGAGGTAGACGGAGCGAAGGCACCCTTTGTAGTCCAACTCGCGCGCCGACTGCTGAAAGAGCAGGAATTCCGCCGACTGAGCCGCCTCCTTACTGGCCGGGTTGAAACCGTCCCAGTAGCGATTCATCGCGTGACGGTTGGCCTCTCCAACACGCTGAAGGGCTTCGAGCAATGCCGGATTCAGTCTCTGCATGCATTCTCGCGCTACACCCGTAAACGCCATCGCGGCGCCCACTTCAGAGTAGTCGTTTGCCTTCTCGTAAATGGTCACTTTATGGCCTGCGTGCAGTAACCCGAGAGCTGTCGCCACGCCGATGATACCGGCTCCCACCACCGCAATGTCGAGCGAGGAGCTGGCGGCAGCGTAGCCATCCCTTTGCTCTTCATAAGAATGGACATCGTTCGTAGGCTGTGCTGTAGCTGTCGCCATTTTGCAGATCGAAGGCTGTAGACGTGCGCTCGATGTTAAATGCCTTATTTATATCTCTATAATGCGGCCTTGCGGGCGATCTGACCGGCGTTGTTCTTGCGAGAAGTCAGACGGATGAAGATGTGTTCCTGAAGCTGATGCCTCCAGCGGGAAGTGGCACCCTTCCCCCGGAGTTTTGAAACTCCTTTGGTCCTCCACAGGAACTTTGCCAATGCGCTCCCCAACTCCACATTAAACCAATGATATTTTGGACATGATAGTCCTGTACCTTTGCCGATTAATTATTTGCAACAAAAGCCCTTTGTTTTCCTCTAGTGCGTGCTGGCCGCCAACCGCCTCGTTTTCCCGCGGAATGATCCAGAAATAAAATGGCAACAGTGAAGTATGCCCTCGTTACCGGCTGCAGTACCGGAGGCCTCGGTTTTGCCCTCGCCAAAGCCTTTCGCGATCAAGGCTTCCACGTGCTGGCAACGGTGCGCAACGCCAACACAGCCGGCGCCCTCGTCGATGAGAGAGACATCGACATCCTCACACTTGACGTGACCTCGGCCGACTCGATCTCGTCATGCCTAGCGCAGGTGCGCAGCGCGACTGGCGACAAACTTGACATTCTGGTTAACAACGCTGGTGCCGCTATATTTGGGCCGCTCGTCCATGCCTCTATTGAGGATGGCAAGAACGCTTACGATGTCAATGTGTGGGGACCTTTGGCTATGACTCAAGCTTTTGCACCTCTCCTCATCGACTCCAAGGGCGTCATCCTGAACATCTCGTCCATTGCTGGTGCAGTGCCACTAGCTTGGCAAGGTACGTGTGCCCTCCTTTTCTTATTTTTTTCTTTTTCCCCATTCCCTTCTTCGCGCCGCTCATCATTCTCTCTCTCACACATGACACACAGGATTATATAATAGCTCGAAAGCCGCCACGACTTTTGTTTCAGAAACGCTCAAAATGGAACTGGCACCATTAGGCGTGCGAGTTGTAACAGCCATGGTCGGCGCGATGGGTACGCAGCTCTACGACGGCCACGAGGTCTCTCTGCCGCCGGACTCGTACTACAAGTCTATTGAGGAGACCATCAAGAAACAATCGAGAGGCGAAATGCAAGCACCCTTTAACGAGCCCGTCGACATCACTGCGCGCAGCCTTGTGAAGGACACGCTATCAGGACGCCGCGGGCAGATTTGGCGCGGCGGTGAGGCGGGTAGAGCTAGTATTCTCTCGTGGTTGGTACCTACTTCGTTGAGGGAGAGGATATTACATGCAGAGAGGGGGATCTATCAATTGAAGTACGAGAAATAGACTTGAATCAATCCACGAATGTACCAAGATTTCATTGAGTACACAAGGTGAAATTTTGTATTCGTCTCACGCTTCCGAATCTACAATGCCCTCAATTTCTCGTAAGTGGCTAATAACGCTGAAACAACAGCAGCTACGTCCCAAGTTTTGATAGGAACGCGGTGATTCCCATCCCACTCCACCACCATGGTGGTCTCCGCCGTACAGCAGCGATTTAACAAATCTCTATGCATAGCTAGGCCCTCATCTTGTAACCCATGCACATGCACGGTCGGCAGCTGCAAAATCGGCCCCTGGACCTCTTTTTCCCTCCTAAAGGAAGTCTGGAAATCTGAATACAGCTGGACGAGTGGTCCCCTACCCGCTAGCAGAACGGCAAAGCGGAACATCGGAACGTGGCTGGGCCTCAACATGCTCTGGTACGTCAACTCAGAGAGCTCTATGCGATCCTGCTCCCTCAAAAGTAGGCTTGCGGCTATCTTGGCACCCTGGCTGAAGCCGAGCAGGCCAACCCACTCGCCCGTCGCGCCCGCCTCATCGTCTGTCCTCATGGCTTCGGCCAGAGACGCATCAATGGCGTCAATAACCTCACTTGGATCACTGTCGTGCACCGGCATTAGCACGTTGTTGGCGTGGTAAGGGGGTGTGGAGAAGGGGTTGTTCCCCGCTCCCGGGTGCGGTTTCATCCAGCTGCGGAAGGGGCCCCATTCCGAGTAGACAGACGTCACGTCCGGACCGGGTTTGCTGATGTAGGGGGCGTCGGGGAAGACGAGGCGGAACGATTGCTCGAGGTGACACCTGATGACCCGGCATTGGGCGCGAAAGATGCGTGAATTGGTGCCGCCACCATGGAGGCATAGGATGCGGGGGAGGGCAAGGGTTGGGTCGGGGCCGGGAACACCGTCTGCTGGTAGCCAAGTCATTGCCGTGTTTGTGATGGTGGAGATGGTGAATATGTGAGGCTGTTCTAATGGCTGGGGCTTGAGATTTGTTGTTGACGCTGCTGTGGGCGACGAGCGACTAAGATCGCCGCTTCTGAAGTGACAGTGAGGTTCCCGAGCAACCAAGCAGATTCTCAAGGAAAAGATAGGAACGCCGTGGTCCACACAGGAGCTGAGATGGAATACGGAGTACGCAGTATGTATTCCCGCTTGGAACAGCGATTAGTACTGCCATGTCCGCGATAGGTTCCTGGCCATTCGCAGACAATGGTTAGGCGGTGATTATCGCATGTCCGGGGGCCAATGTGGTCAGCTCGGACTTACTTTAAGGTACGGCCCGCCGGACTTTTTTTTATCCGTTCTCAGTTAGCGCCAACACGCAGCGCTCCCATTGGTGTCATCGCTCCGCTCTATTAGGTTGGTGATTTAATATGAGAAAAAAGCAATTGAAGGATCAATCGATCAATATCACTGCCGTTTTCCTTTTGGCTTTACCATCTGCTTGTGATTGTAGTATCATCTCGTACTTATTTACCATATTGTCAAAAGGAGCAGTGCATAAGATGGGCAACATTGGCACAGAACCGGCTACAGAGCCCATCGCCATAATCGGCATCAGCTGCAAGTTCGCTGGAGATGCGAGCAGTCCTAATGAACTGTGGAAGATGCTGGTTGAAGGGAGAGATGCCTGGTCCGAGGTGCCTTCGTCTAGGTTTAACTTAAAAGGGTTCTTCCATCCCGATCCAGACAGGCGCGATACTGTGTGTTTGCCCGATACTAGAAAAAGAAATAGGCGGCGCCGCTGATGATCATGGTGTTGCTGACAGATGCACGTTCGGGGCGGCCACTTCTTGCAAGAGGACGTTGCACACTTTGACGCCCCTTTTTTCAACTTCTCCTCAGAACTCGCAGCGGTGAGGTCTTACCACCACACATACTTCCCTTCTGACGGCTGATATGATGTATTAATAGGCACTCGACCCTCAGTTCCGCCTCCAGCTCGAGTCTGTGTATGAGGCGCTAGAGAATGGTGAGTACTAACACCGCCTGCCAAAACCTATGGTTGTCCGGGCGCTTCATCTCAAGTAATTGCTGAAGATTCGCAGCGGGCCTTCCTTTGACTCAGGTCGCCGGTTCAGACACGTCCGTGTTCGCGTCATTGTGGAAAAATGACTACCGAGATGGCATAATTCGCGACGAGCAAAACCTACCCAGGTCCCTCTATACTGGCACAGGTAGAGCCTTTGCGGCTGCCAGAATCTCTCACTTCTTCGATCTTCGAGGAGCTAGCATGACACTTGATACGGCTTGTTCTAGTAGCTTGGTAGCACTCCACCAGGCCGTTCAGAGCCTGCGGAGTGGAGAATCATCTATGGCCATCATTGGAGGCTCGAACTTGATATTGAACCCGGACACTTTCGTGTCCCTGGGGTCTACGGGCTTCTTGTCGGCTGAGGGCAAATCGTTTGCTTTTGATACACGAGCAAATGGTTACGGCCGAGGGGAAGGTGTTGCTACTTTAGTTATCAAGCGCTTAAAGGATGCATTATCGGCAGGCGACCCCGTGCGAGCTGTCATTCGCGAGACTCTTCTCAATCAAGATGGTAAAACCGACAGCATAACATCGCCAAGCCAGATCGCGCAAGTGGCGCTAATGCGCGACTGCTATCACAAGGCTCGGCTCGACCCACAAGACACGCAGTATGTCGAAGCCCACGGCACTGGTACCGAAATTGGAGACTCCATTGAAGCAGGTGCAATTGCTACAGTCTTCCAGCCCACAGCGAGTCAGCCTATGCGCATCGGCTCCATCAAGACTAACATTGGCCACACAGAGGTCACTAGCGGAGTGGCGGGGATAATCAAGGTGGTGCTAGCCCTGGAGAAGGGCATAATCCCGCCGTCCGTCAACTTCAATGAACCAAACCCAAGGGTACCATTAGAATCTGCCAACCTCAGGGTAGTAACCAAGGCCGAACAGTGGCTACTAGGCCCCAACGGTGTCCGACGGGCCTCTATCAACAACTTTGGCGCTGGTGGCACTAATGCCCATGTCATCGTCGAAAGCGCAGAGCCTGCAACACCCCGCAACGACGGGCAGCAGTCGTCCCAGAAGTACAAGACAAAGGTGCTTGTTTTGAGCGCAAGGAGCGAACAGGCCTGCAAAAACCTAATCTCAAACTTGAAGGGCTACCTGGAAAGCAAGAAGGGGGTAGCCTGGGAGGAGGCGCTCTTGGAAAATGTCATGCATACCCTTGGGCAGCGCCGGACCTTACTTCCCTGGGTTGCGGCCCACCGCGTTCCTTTTTCGCGAGGCATCGATGAGGTCACTAAAGCTTTGGAATCGCTCCAATTCAAGCCAATCCGTGCAACACGGCGCCCGAGGATTGGTATGGTGTTCAGCGGCCAGGGCGCTCAGTGGCACGCCATGGGCCGGGAGCTTATAATTGCGTACCCTCCTTTTAGGGCTTCTCTCGAGGAAGGCGAGATATATCTAAAGGAATTCGGCGCAGACTGGTCGGTGATTGAAGAGCTTCACCGCGACGCTGACACCACCAAGGTTAACGACACTGCGATTAGTATACCCATCTGCGTCGTCCTTCAGATCTCACTGGTGCGGCTGCTTCATGCTTGGGGAATCACACCGACCGCGGTTGCCAGTCACTCAAGCGGAGAGATTGCTGCTGCCTACGCGGTTGGCGCACTGAGCTACAAGTCGGCGATGGCGGCTGCCTACTATCGTGCTGTAATCACCGCCGCTGACACGAGCCGTCGCAATGGGGCCTCCAAAGGAGGCATGATCGCCGTCGGTGCAGGTATTGAGGATACAGAGTCCTACCTGGGTCGGCTGAAGAGCGGCAAGGCCGTCGCAGCGTGCATTAACAGCCCGTTAAGCGTCACAGTAGCCGGAGATGTCTCTGCAGTACAAGAAATTGAAGACATGGCCAAAGCCGATGGCATTTTCGCTCGTAAACTCCGTGTGGGCACGGCCTATCACTCACATCATATGGATCCAATTGCTCAACCCTATCGCGAAGCGCTTCTTAACCATCTGACCCAATCCGCAGATGTGGGTGATGCACTCGATTCCGTTTTATTCTGCTCGGCCGTCACTGGCGGTCGGATCTACAGTGTTAACGAACTCACCGAGCCGGAGCACTGGGTCAAGAGCTTGACGCAGCCGGTGCGATTCGTCGATGCCATATCGGACATGGTGCTAGGCGACTTTGATCCATCTGGCACCAGTGTCGATGCTATCATCGAGGTCGGCCCACACTCGAATCTAGGCGGTCCTATCAAGGAGGTCATGGATCTTCCGGAATTCAACGGCATTCAGATCCCATACTACAGTTGCCTCTTGCGTAAGACCAACGCTAGGGACAGTATGCAAGATCTCGTTGCTAGCCTGCTACGTGAGGGTTTTGCGATTAACCTCGGACCTGTCAACTTCCCTTGGGGCTAATGGCCGCACGTCCGCGTATTGACTGACCTTCCTTCCTACCCCTGGGACCACCAAACTCGGCACTGGCACGAGTCACGAGTCAATAGAGCCATCCGGGAGAGATCGCAGCCGCCGAATGACCTACTCGGGTCGCTCGAGCCGTGGGCAAACCCTCGTATCCCATCCTGGCGGCAGATATTCCGCATCGATGACGCACCCTGGGTCAGAGACCATATTATAGATTCCAGCAGCTTATACCCTGCCGCTGGTTTTATCTGTCGAGCAATTGAGGCTATGTCCCAGATGGTCAGGATGGAAGAGATTGACAATGTTACCAAGGCTGTCATAGGGTACTGCCTGCGAGACATTGATATCCAACAGGCTCTCGTTGTGCCTGACGGTGATGGAGGTGTTGAGATCCAGACCAGTCTCAGCCCGGTCGGTGACAAAGCAATCGGCTCGCAGGGCTGGATGCAGTTTGTCATTTCCTCTGTAACAACAAACTCCAAATGGACTCAGCATGCAACGGGCATGATCTCGGTTGACCTAGGTGTTACCGGTGAAATGTTGAACATTGGCACAACAGTGGCCGAGAAGAAATCATCAACCGACTCAACTCAAGCTTTCGATGTCGACGACTTTTACAACAGCATGCAATCATCTGGTATCAAGTATGGACGTACTTTCCGTAATATCAAGACGGTGGTCCAATCGGGCAAGTCCAAATTGTCTGAAACCACATTCGGTGTGGCCGATACTCTAATGCCTAAATCCTTGCCTGACAGCCACATTCTGCACCCGACCACGCTCGATTCCGTCATTCAGGCGGCCTACACTACCTTATCTGAGGCTCAGCTCAAGCAAGGTAGCCTTAAAGTGCCACAATCAATCTCAAAGTTGTGGGTGTCGAATGGCATCTCCCGCAAGGCCGGCCACCTATTCAAGGCTTACTCCTCACGCAGCCGCGGTGATGCACGGAGTATGGTGGCCGATATTCTAGTCATGGATGATGACAATAACAAGACCATTGATCACGTCCTGAAGATGAATGGCTTGGTGCTAAGAACTGTTGGCGCAGGAGTTGTTAGCTCCGAGCGACAACAGTCGAAGCCGTGGGAGAGAGAAATATGCAACAAACTGAAATGGGCACCTGACATGTCCCTCGCCACGATGGCAGCCTTGAACACCATCAAGCAGCAGTTGAGCAGCCCTCCCGACCCGAAAGAAGCTCGCGTGGTCATAGATCTACGCCGAATTTGCATCTATTTCATACGCGACGCGCTTGCGGCACTGACCGAGTCCGACATAAAGCTGTTGAATGATCACCACAGGAAATATTACACGTGGCTGCAGAACCAACTTCAGCTCGCGAAGGCTGGCAAGCTCGGCCCCGACAGCGCACAATGGACGTCCGACGACGATTCGGAATGTCGCAGGCGAATGGCTGAAGCAACTAAGGCCACTGTTAATGGTGAGATGGTGTGCCAACTGGGTCCTCATCTGGCTGCCATGCTCCGTCGTGACACGCCGCCACTCGAGTTGATGATGGAGGGAAAGCTACTATTCAAGTACTACAGCAATATGCTCAAAGCCGACCGGTCTTTTAAGCACCTGGCTAGTCTGTTGCAGCGCATCGTGCACAAGAATCCGCGTGCGCGCATTCTAGAGATCGGCGGTGGTACGGGTGGCGAGACGCGGTACGCACTTAAGGCCTTGGGTACGGCGCAGACTGGGGGTCCTATGGCGTCGTTGTATCACTTTACCGACATCTCGGCGGCTTTCTTTGAGGCGGCGGAGGCCGAGTTTGGGGAATGGAGGGAAATAATGGAATACAGCAAGTTTGATGTAGAGAAAGACCCAGCCAGCCAAGGGTTCGAGTGTGGCAGCTACGACATTGTCATCGCCTGCCAGGTCTTGCACGCGACCAAGTCTATGGCCAACACTATGGAAAATGTGCGCAAGCTGCTGAAGCCAGGCGGGAGCCTACTGATGGTGGAGACAACCAAAGATCAAGTGGATGTGCAGTTCGTCTTTGGGCTGCTTCCTGGCTGGTGGCTCAGCGAAGAGGGGGAGAGAACATCCAGCCCATCCCTTAGTGTCCCCCTCTGGGACCGAGTCTTGAAGGGCGCAGGTTTCACAGGAGTGGAGTTTGAAGTGCATGATTGCGAGAGCGAGGACATGTACTCGATAAGCACCATCATGTCAACCGCTCTCCGTTCGCAGCCCCCAAGACTGGCTTCAGAAAACATCGTGCTCATCGCCAGCAGCAAGGCGCCTCCCCCAAGTAGCTGGTGTGAAGTTCTGCAGAGTTCCATTGCTACCACGACAGCCATTGATAGGCATTTGCCGACCGTGCAGATGCTAGAGTCCTCGGCAGCATCAGAGTACACTGGGAAGATCTGTGTCGTTTTGGCCGAAGTGAGTCGGCCATTACTTCAAAACCTTGACGCAGTAGAGCTAGAGGGCATTAAAGCTATTGTCACCTCATGCAAGGGGCTTCTCTGGGTGACCCATGGAGGTGCGGTCGACTGCGAGCAGCCGGATCGCGGGCTCGCAGTTGGCTTCATGCGCTCCCTGCGCAATGAGTATGTGGGACGTAAGTTCTTGACCTTGGATTTGGACCCTAAGACGCCAGTCTGGTCCGAAAAGTCCACGCCCATTATCCTTCAGATCCTAAAGACGGAGTTTGCGAGCGCGGGTGGCACTTTGGCATACGATGCGCCAAGCGAATTCGAGTACGCCGAGCGAGACGGATTCGTTTTGGTCCCAAGACTACACAAGAACGTTGATGGAAACAAGATCATTTTGCCCGAACCAATAGACTACTTTGCCAAAGATAGTATGCCGATTGAGCTATTCCTCCAGGCAGACTATCCACTGAGCTTGCAGGTAGGCGTCCCAGGCTTGCTAGACACGCTCGTGTTCGACCATGATGTTCAGCCGGGAATCCGTGATGACGGAACCATTCAAGAAGAAGCGGTTCAGATAGAACCACAAGCATACGGAGTGAACATCAGCGATGCTTTAGTGGCCTTGGGCCAGCTGGATGAGCATGTGATGGGCATGGAATGTGCGGGTGTCGTCACTAAGGTCGGCAGCCTTGCAGCCTCTCATGGCTACGCGCGGGGAGACAGAGTCTTTTGCTTGCTTCGAGGCCCTTTCGCCAGTCGTGTGTGCACCGAATGGACTAACGTCATGCATATTCCCCCTCACCTCACGTTTGAGGAAGCCGCCACCCTCCCCGTCGTCTTCAGCACGGCCTTGGTTGGTCTATGTGACATAGGACGCCTGCAGCACGGCCAATCGGTGCTGATACATGCCGCGGCTGGTGGCGTTGGACAGGCGGCAATCATGATCTCACAGCATGTCGGCGCGACAATATTCGCTACGGTTGGCTCGCATGAGGAGAGAAACTTGATCGTCACTAAGTACGGCATACAAACAGACCACATCTTCTCCAGCCAAGATAAATCGTTTGCACAAGCCGTCCTCTCAGCTTCTGGCAAACGCGGCGTCGATGTAGTACTCAATTCATTAGCTGGCCCGCTGTTGCAGGCAAGCTTCGACGTTGTGGCGCCATTAGGGCACTTTGTGGAAATCGGGACTCGTGATCTCGAGCGTAATAGTAGCCTGGAGATGCGTCCCTTTGCTCTTCAGGTGTCCTTCTCGTCGGTGAATCTGCTCGCCATGATGCGCCATCGGAAACGAGACGTTCACCGCACTCTTACCAAGATAGCTCGACTGGCGACTGAAAAAGTTATTGCACCAGTCTGGCCCATCACCACCTACCCAATTGCCGAGGCAGCTAAGGCGTTCAGACGACTTGCGACCGGAGAGAGCATTGGTAAAATGATTCTGAAAACTGACCAACGGCAGACCATCCCTGTGCTTCCACGACGCCAAAACGTCAGGCTTGCCCCAAACTCTTCTTACCTGCTTGTTGGTGGTCTTGGCGGTATTGGTCGGTCTGTGATTACTTGGATGATCGAGCACGGTGCTAAGAATTTGATACTGTTATCGCGCAGTGCTGGCGACGTCCAGAAAACAGGACGTTTCGTGGCCCAGACAATGGAAGAGACGGGCTGTCAAATCAAGGCCATCAGCTGCAATGTTTCAGACTCCGTAGACTTGGAATCAGCACTTCAAAGGTGTCGAGGGCAGCTTCCGCCAATCCGAGGCATCGTACAAGCTGCAATGGTCCTTCAGGTATGTTTTCCAAGTCATATACCGTCATCAAGGTTGGAAGTTAAACTAATGTTATCTTCAGGATGCCTTGCTTGAGCAGATGACGATTGATGACTATAAGGCTGCCATCTTGCCCAAAGTCGATGGCACATGGAATTTGCATTCTCAATTCCCACACGCCGATGACCTTGACTTTTTCGTCATCCTTTCGTCCAATGTCGGCACCCTAGGGAACGCAAGCCAGTCCAATTACGCGGCTGGTGGTACCTACCAGGACGCGCTGGCGCGCTGGCGTGTTGGTCGTGGCCTACCTTGTGTTTCCATCGACCTTCCTGCCGTCAAGTCGATTGGTTACGTCGCAGAGATGGCGGGAGTCCGAGATCGCATGTCTAGGCTGGGGCATATGCCGCTTGAAGAAAGCTTAGTGCTCAAATTGATTGAGTCGGCCATACTCAGACCTCACGAGGGACAGAACGTGGCAGGCATCAATGTAGGGCCAGGTGGACACTGGAACCAGGACAGTTCTTCACAACTCGGCCGCGATGCGCGATTCTGGGCTCTGTGGTATCGCCAGCCGCAGCAGCAAAAGAAGGCTAGTATTGGTAAGGGCGGTGGTGACCCGCTTCCAGATCAGCTTACTGCAGTCTCGTCGCGACACGAAGCCGAACGTCTAGTGGGCCAGGCCATTGCACAGAAGCTTGCCAACATCTTTACAATACCCTCCGACGACGTCGACATGACCAAGCCGCCTGGTGCTCACGGCGTCGACTCTTTGGTGGCGGTCGAACTGCGCAATATGATAAGGAATCAAGTCGCCGCTGAAATATCAAGTTTTGATATCATGCAGAGTGCATCGCTAGCAGCCCTGGCTGGCCTCGCAGCATCGAAGAGTGAGCATGTAAAATCATCTGGCGTCTCATGAGGGCTGGCTACGGCATCTAAAATATGACGACGATTTGAACTAAGGTCCTTCCTGTCTCTCCCCACCCATCTCCTTTTATTGTCCTCTAGTCTTACAAGTTTGTAGTCTCTTGAAAATCTGCTAGGAAGGAAAGGTAAGAAGAGCTTCCGTAGGTAGACGCCCTAATAGCACTGGGTTACTATTAACGTTCGCAATGGCGTACTCGGTGTTCCACCCACTCGCTTCGCTCGTAGGTGGCGACAGCGATCTGTGCACGCGACAGCGATCTGTGCACGCGACAGCGATATGTGCATGTACACCGCCACTTTGATACATAGATGAAATAATAATATTTGTCGTAACAACAACCCTCTACGATGCCTTTGAATAGCGATCCAAGTCGAGCTGACCGTCTTATTGAGGCCCGGCAGTTCTACTTGAAACAACCAGATACTTATACAATTACTTGGGTTGCCCGCAAGTTTAATGTCAACCGTGAGACACTCCGACGACACATTACTACCCCTCTCCTTCCCCGCGGGGGTCAAAACCGAGTTTTATCTCAAGAACAAGATAACTCCTCCACAAGCGAGTGTCGCATACAAGTGAGTGTCGCACGCAATTGACAGATCGTAACAAACTTTCTAACAACAACAACTATAGACTAGAAAATCAATTAAATTAATTATACACCTATTCTATAGTATCTTCTTAATCCCTTTGACATGTGCGAGCATTATGCCCAGTCTTACCACACATTCTGCAACGTCGTTGCTGTCTTTCAACCCCACCACCCTGTCGTAGTTCTTGAGATATCTGCTCTTCCACAGCTAGGTGAGCAAGTACATCCTGACCTTCTTGAATTGTAAGGCACCCTCCTTGTTGTATACGCTTTTTTTTTTCGCTTTTTGCGCTGACTTGCAACTTCATTTGCTTGTTGTAAGGCCTGAACTTCCGCCTTCATTAGAACAGCAGAATGCACCATTGTTTGAGCACCTCTTAACAACTGGTCTAGCGCATTGTTAATAGGAGTTGGTGAGCTATTTTGATTGCATATAATGCGATCTTTAAGATGCGTAGTTTGACTTGCTAGCTCTATTAGATTGTGTGGTGTTTTAGGTTCCCATGAAGCATCCTCAAAGGTTGGTGGTGTTAAAGGCCGTAGTTGAATGTCAAGCTGTGACAACACAACATCAGGACAGAATGGAACTAGCCCTGTAGCTCGAAAACTACTGCAGATGTTCTGCTTTGTGATTGCGTCTGTGAAAGCCTGCTTAAAGGCAGGAAGAAACTCAACTTTCATAACATGGTTTATATGAGTGCGGATTAAGCTCTCAACTTGCCGTCCATATGCCTTCTTAAGTGGTCCAAAGCAACTAACATCAAGCGGTTGAAGTAGATGAGATGAGTGCGGAGGCATATAAAGCAATATTATACCATTCTCCTTACAGTATTGCTCAAACGGTAGAGAATAGTGACTCTCATGGCCATCTAGAATTAACAGGCGATGTGCACCAACTGTACGATGCTTTGTATGCTTATGAAAACGTTGGATCCATTGAAATCCAAGTTCATTTGTCGTCCATCCATTCTCACTTACTGCGAGAATCCAATCTTGTGGTATATCTTCATCATACCATGTTGAGAGATGGTTCTTCCCACTCATAATAATGAATGGTGGGATTGACCATCCTTGCGCGTTAATCCCTTGAATTACTGTTGCCCACTCTCTGTTTCCAGGTTGAATTGCTTTAGGTCGATTCTGCCGTTCATAGTTTGTAACAACCATTGCTGTTGTAATAATGCCCATTTGAAAACCCGTCTCATCAAAGTTGTAGATGTCTGCATCGGTAATTCCATACTTTGCAGTAGTGTTTTGTACAAGTGTAAACCATGCTTTTATGAGCTCTGCATCTTCACATAGAGCTCTCTTATAGTCGTATTTGCGATTAAACTTTGTTTTAAGCTCAACATGGCGTTTAACAAAGTTGGAAGCCCAATTAACTCCAACCTTGCCCACACCTCGAGATGCGAGTAATTGATTGGCCATATCTTCAACAGCACGAAGCCTAGGCGAAAACCCCCGTGAATCTAGGTCGAGGATATGTTGAATAACAACTGATTCTTCCAAGCAAGTGAGTTTTTGAGTTTTTGGTGTAATGTCGCGTCGTGGGCGTATTCCCTTTAGGCGCCTCTCAAGTAGCTTAGGACAGACATTTGAGGCCTTTGCAGCTGCCCTAATGCTATTAAATTGGCGTAATCTAATAGCTTCGATAGCAATATATATTCTACCTTCAAGATTAGTTGATGGAATATCAACTTGTTGAGGCATCTTGCAGTACACATAAGGAGCGCGTTGTGTTCGTCGCGTGCGACACTCACTTGTATGCGACGCTCGCTTGTGGAGGACGTTACTGCAGTTTGTCAATTTATATATGACCAACTTAAGCGTGGGGTCCCTGCAAACCGATCAATGGTTTTTAGGGCTCGGCACGGATGCAAATCCGTGAGGTTTTTCTCAATCCTTATCCGTATTCGTGGGTTTTGAAGGCCCTTATAACGTACATGTATAGCGAAAGCGCCAAACAAGCGAAAGCGCCAAAATTATCTACCCTCACGACAAACATTGCAATAAATCTACCACAACATTAGAAATCAATTGAAACTACTCGGAGTCCTCTTCCTCAGAGGTGTCTATTACAATCTGACACGTGCGCGCATTGTGCCCAGTCTCACCACACTTGCCACAGCGACGGGCACGGGTTTCTTCCCTTGGCTTCCGACCACGGCTTGCCCTTATTTCCTGCTCTACCTGCTGCACAACATCCCTCTCATCCTGTAGCTCTTGCGCCCCTTGTTGACTAAGTGATCCTCCTTGCTGTAGTCGTGTTTTCCTAGCTCTCCGGCGCTTGCTTAGTACTTCATTTGCCTGTCGTAGGTTTTGGTTCTCTCCCTTTAGCAGTGCTAATTGATGCATTATTTGCGATGCACCCTTTGTAAACTGGTCAACAGCTGCATAGATTGAGGTTGGAGAGCTATTTTGATGGCGTGAAATCCGAGTTTTAATAAATGTAGACTGTGACATAGCTTCAATTGGGTTGTTTGGTGTCTGAGAAACCCAAGGTTGAGCAGTACCTGGGCGGGAGCTTGGAGGCGTTGGTGTCCTTAACTTAAGATCAAGTGTAGATATCACTCTCTCAGGGTCAAATGGAAGAAGCCCTGCCCCTCGGAACCCGCCTCAAATGTTACTTTCCGTCATTGTAGTGTTAAATGCAGCATGGAAGGCAGGAAAGAAGTCATCCTTTGTAATATGAGAAATATGAGCCTGCATCATATCTTCAATTTGCCGACCATAGGCCTGCTTTAACGGGCCGAAACAGCCAACATCAAGTGGCTGGAGTAGATGAGAAGAGTGAGCAGGCATACAAAGCGTAATAATGTTGTGTTCCTTGCAGTACTCCTCAAACTCATCTGAGTGGTGGCTCTCATGACCATCAAGGACTAACAAGCGATAACCACCAACACTCCGGGCCTTTGTATGCTTCTCAAAGTGCTGAATCCAATCCATGCCTCTCTCGTTTGTAGTCCAGCCATTTTCAGTAACAGAAATCACCCAATCGCTTGAAAATCCACTATTCTCATACCAAGATGTAAGGTGGTTTTTGCCTGCAACAATGATAAATGGTGGTACTGCCCAACCTTGAGAACTAACGCCTTGGATTACTGTAACCCATTCCCGATTACCAGGCTGTACCTTCTTTGCTTTTGCCCGCCCGTCTGAGCTTGTTACAACCATAGCAGTTGAGATAACGCCCATCATAAACCCAGTCTCATCAAAGTTGTAGATATCTGCTTCATCGATACCATATTTCGCAATTGTGTTACGCACAAGCTCAAACCAGCCATTAATAACTTCTGGATCTTCGCACTTAGCCCTCTGGTAGTCGTATTTGCGCTGAAAGCGTGTCTGGAGCTCTACATGCCGCTTAACAAAGTTTGAAGCCCAACGCGACCCAACGCGTGACGCGTCGCGTGTTGCAAGTAGTCGACTTGCCATATCTTCAACAACAGACAGCCGAGGAGGAAACCCTTTGGCAACTAGGTCGAGTATATACTGAACAAGGACCGACTCCTCTAGGTTAGTTAATTTCCGTGAGTTGGCTTGGATATCGCGTCGTGAAGGTACACCTTCTAGACGACGACCTAGCTTGCGGTGGTCCACAGAATAGATCCTAGCAGCAACTCGAAGGCGTAACTTTGGGTCGCTTTGCATAGCCTGGATAGCTAGCACTAATTGGCTTTCATCGTTTTTATGGGGCATGTTTTGTTGTTGAGGAATTTAACATTTAGTTGGGGGGTTTGGTCACCGCATCATTTTGGCGCTTTCGCTTGTTTGGCGCTTTCGCTATACATGTACGTTATTTGCTATATGAGGCTTATTTCTTTCATTTTGTGTGTTGCACATATCGCTGTCACGTGCACAGATCGCTGTCACCACCTACGAGCAAAGCGAGTGGGTGGAGCACCGAGTAATGATCACCATGGCAAAATGAGCAGCAAAACCGAAGTCTTCCAGCTTCAAATCAATTTTCAACTATAATACAACTAAGCGTACCCAATTCTGAGTCAGGCAAATCATCTATAAGTAGGTCTTCCTCAATTTCCTCCACAATGCTGTCTTGTTCAACCCTTTGTGCCCGACCTCCTTGTTGGTACGGGTCTTATTTTCAATCTATAAAACTGCCGACTGGATTTCTTACGTACTCATTACAATAAGTCCTTTCAAAGCTACTCTCTTGCCCCGCTTGTTAGTTCTACGTGCAGACACTGTGTTAAATAATATGAACCCGTATACTGCCAAGCACTTTTCCTGACACCATGGAGTCTGAGCGGGTCCCAAATAGGAAATTTTGAGATAAATAAACATTGTGTTACTGAGGTTATTATCATGTTAGTAGAGCAACTATCATGCACGTGCTTTATGCTAGCATGTGCATTCCTTGGCAGTATATGGGCCGTATACTATCTTACACACTGCGTGCAGATAGAACACTTTGGGTATCTTGTAGCTCCTTAAGTAACAGTGTATTTTGTGTTCTTAGAGTTTTAGCAGTGCATGTAAGTCGTGAGATATATTTGCGTGTTAGAGAGTCAAGCACATTTGGAGACTATAACATCAAATTAAGAGCTGCATTTGAGCTACGCAACTCTGTATCACTTAGTGGGGAGCTAACAAGTAATGAGCGATAGTTTGGTGTTTGTGGAGGTGGTGTAGTTGCATTTGTTAAAGTAATAAAGAGCAAGTGTGTAATGATGGTAAATGATTATATGCCTTTTAAGGGTCAAATGGGTAAATACCTGCTCCTAACCATGCGCTTTGAATGTTGTGTTGTGATATTGCTCATAACCTTGCTTTTGTAGTATATTCAATCCATTCTACCTTTTGAATGTGCCTTACTCCAACTTGTATAAGTTGATGAGTCTCATTTGCAAGTGTAGTTTTTAACAGCCTAAACACTGCAACATCAAGAGGTTGAAGAATGTGAGAACAATGAGGCAGGTAATATAAGAAGGTCAATCTTATGTTACATGCAATGAGCAATAAAATTTACAGAAATGTGACTGTCATTTCCATCTACAATCAAAGGTCATGGTCTTTCATCTGTAATTTCATGAGTTTTAGTGTAAGGATGCCTTCTCATCTCTCATTCTAGGGAGTACATTCTGGGTAGCTGCGGGGTCACGTGTGATCATTTGGGTGGGCTAACCGAGTCGGAACCGAGTGGGATGGTTTTCGGGTACTTGAGACAATCGACTCACGGGGTTCCCCCTTCATCTTTTTTGTATCCTTCGTAGTAGACCTATAGGATAGCATCCGTTTAGCCTCCGACTCGTACTCTTATATGCTATTACTGTGAGCTGGGTGCCCTGTGCCCTTACAGTATCTTGTGGTCACATATGCGGTGTGGGGGGATTCGATCTGATTCCAACTTCGAAAAGACATGGTGTACTTCCGGTGCATATGCGGAAGCTTCTGCTGGATGAGGCGGAGCGTTTCTTCGTCCTCTACCAACTCTTTTTCATGGATGATCTGGTCAATTTCGTAGATGCTAGTCTGAAAGAACTCGGCGTCGCTTCGCATCATCTCATGATGGAAGGCATTGGCACTGATTTCGCATATCCGTATGGGCGTAAAACTAGGTACCAGTTTCACTAGTAGTGGGGGAGAAACCTCTTGGTTTCGGGTAGGGCTCGGTGGCATATCAGTGATCTCTTCATAGCCTGAAGTTATCACTTTCATGTTCATCGAGCGTTCGCCTGCGCGGCGTCTGTCTTTGCGGTGGATTGCAGCATCCCTGGGATTTGCATCCGGCTGGTATGCGGAATGTCGAATGGATGTTTCTCGCGTGTAGTAGGGAAGGTGATCTCCTTGCTCCAGCTAGGAGTCGGCGGGTACTCCTTTGGCCATACTAACTGGCTCTTTGCACAGTCGAGTAGTATTCGGAAGCGGCTGAAAAGCTTCTTCCCAATTATCACATCTTGTGCTCCGAGGTCCAGGAGTACAAAGGGGCAGTTATATATCCAGCATCCTTCAACTGTTAAGTGTAACCGAATATACTCCGATACGTGGCCTTGGATTTTGAGCTGAAATCCATGTATGGGTACAGAGTAGGGTAGTTTCCGCATGGGGCTGTGAAGTGCTTTCGACAGTCGTATTGCAAAAGGCTTGTTAATGACTAGGTAGCCATTTGCTCCTGTGTCTGCTAGGGACTTTGTTTGCACCCCAAGTCCATTCATACTCAGGATTGTGTTGACTAAGAACTGGGTACCTCCTAGGGTTCTCGTAAGTCTAGTCCTCGCAGGTCACATTTGCGTAGACCTAGGAAGGAGCCTTCTCCTAGGCCTCGTCGTTTTCCTCTAGGGACGCATCCGATTGAAGTTTCATGGCTTCCTCCCATTGTTCTTCTGCCTCAGGGTCGTTACGGTCAATTTCCTTGATAGTATCATTAAGGGGGCATTTGTCCTGGAAATAGCTGGGCTTGCCACACTTGAAACAGTTTCCTCAGGATGCTGGGACTGTGGTCTTCATGCGCTCCGGCATCATTGGCTTGGGGAGGAACGTGATTCGGGTAAACAGAGCACGTGTGGCTCGAGTCAGCTTCGACACTGACGCCTTTGCTGCATCCGTCGTATGTGTGGACGTCCTTGCGGGGGCAGGTAGCAGATTCAATTCGTTGTTCTGGCGCCATTCCTTATTGAAGGCGGTAAGTTCTCATACCATGGTCTGGTAGTCTCCATTCCATTGGTTTTCGATGATCGCGACGTGGCTGCGGAATTGGGGAGTCAACTTGTTCCACATGTACTGAAACCATTCTGACTCAGAGACTTGTCCTGTAATAGCTGCACTTTGGAAATGAGCCTTGAACTCTGGGAAGGTTTCGCTAGCATACCCCTTCCCTACCATTTGCAGGTCGTCGAAGAGGTTCCTGGCCTGTTCCGTCTCGTTGCCTGTGAGGTAGTATGAACCTAGTAGGTCCATCATCTCATCAGCACTGCGGAACCCATGCATAGCAGACAGGTATTGGGGCTCTAGGTAGGTCTTAGCCAGGCCGGTCGTAGTTCCCCATATCAATGCTCTTCTTGAGACATCGGTAAGGTAGTGGTACTCATTGACTACGAGTCGGTCCCGAATCGAAGCGCTCCATTGTAGGAAGGTATGTTCTATCCCATCGCTGAGTGGAGTGATTTTCTCTGAGATGGTAGATTTCTTATAGCGAGTCGGTGGGTCCTCAGTGTGCATTCGCGACATCCTTGGGATTGATGGAGAACGAAAGTCCTGAAGAGGCGGCAATTAAACTGTCTCAGGGGTGTTTCGTGTGCGAGGCGTTCGTTGCTCCGTGTAATGGTGGGTGCACCAGATGTGAGAATCTAGCCACCCAAGGAAGGGATCATTTTACTAAGACAACACACTGTCTTAGAAAACAGAGCCAAAGGGTCGTAGCTTAGACTATTCCACAATGCAGCAATCAGGTGTATGATATAGTGGAGTGGTTTAGACAAGTTGTAGCAAATGTTGAGTCTGAGAACTCAGGGATAAGTCAGAGGTTAGCACCTCACTGACTTTTCAGAAACAAGGAGTAACAAGATCAATGCTTGGAAGCTTGGAAAAAAGGTGGAAGTATGTGATAGTCGATTTACTGTATTGTCTGCTTGCCCTTTCTTAAGGAAAGGGCAATCCTATTTATGCTAAAGGAGTGTAGTTCTCTCATTTTCCAAGACTTTCCATGACTAACCAGGATTGGTAACTGTAGTCGACGTAAGAGAATCCCATAGAACCATCTCCTAGGTTCCTAGCCTATAGGAAGTGAAAGGAGGTCCAAGGTCAGAGTACCCCTATAGACAAATTATGTCATAACTTAACCAATCTTGTGGGTAACTAAGGAGCGATGACGTGTAATAAATCATAGAGGGTTGTAGAAGCTTTTGGAGCTAGCATTCATGTTCCTAGGCCTCTAGTTGATAGAGATATGTCATGTGTAGTATTAGCCCAGTAACTAAGATGTGATGTCATGTAATGAATCATAGAGGGTTGTAGTGATATGCTATGTGGTAATATCGGCCCAGTAACTAAGGAGCAATGACGTGTAATGAATCATAGAGGGTTGTAGCAATCGTTGAGTAGTATTGCTCTTGTTGTTGGTGTGATAAGCCAAAATATGTATAGTGACTTGTAGGTTTGAGGAGGAGATTTCTAAGTTTGCTCTTGAGTTTGATAGCAAACTGACTGCAACGAATGTCAGTATGACACTCCGCAGCTTCAACTGTGGGTATGGGGGCGTCCACCGGCAGTGTGGACAGGATTCTGGTCTGGGTTGCCGTCAGGGTAACTAGTAGATCCTTGACCTCCTGTATCTGTGCTTCGAGGTGGGCCATTCGACTTGGGATGTCTTCGGATGGCACAGCGGTGGTAGCTGCAGCGCTGGTTTGTCTGGTAGTCATTCTAGGCAGTTGACCGTCGTTGTCTTGGGGTATGTTTGATGTCGGCTTTTTCGACATATTGCCTCAGGTGTGTATCGGTACCGATACCAAAGAGCTTGACTTCCGGTAGCTCGTAGCTATCAACGCTCTTGTCCACAAATTCATCAAATGGACTAAGGATACACACAATGTATTCATTGAGTGGTGGAAGCTATCACGATGATACGATATCCTTAAGAAAGGATCTCGTATCCTATTTGGTGCCAACGTGTCGGCGACTTTTACCAGCTTGTTCTGAAGAATCAAACCCTAATTCACTGGTTGTCCGTAAGATCTCTGGAATCACGGCTATTTGAAGTCGTCAGGTCTCTCCTCCAAAATGTCACTGAGTCGCGGTCGATGTCATAAGGGTAGTTCTCCTGAGTCGTTCCTGTGTGGGATATTATTGAAGTACGGCCGTCACCGGCAGGCGTGATCTTTTTTGTATAATGTAAGTACACAGGGCACCCAGCTCACAGTAATAGCATATAAGAGTGCGAGTCGGAGGCTAAACGGATGCTATCCTATAGGTCTACTACGAAGGATACAAAAAAGATGAAGGGGGAACCCCGTGAGTCGATTGTCTCAAGTACCCGAAAACCATCCCACTCGGTTCCGACTCGGTTAGCCCACCCAAATGATCACACGTGACCCCACAGCTACCCAGAGTCTACTCCCTAGAATGAGAGACGAGAAGGCATCCTTACAGATACAGCTCGAAGCCCCTTTACCAAACGCTTTCTCCCCATTATATCGACAGGGCACCGAATAGCTTAAGGCTACCAAGTAATACCTGTTAGAGAACCTAGAGAAAGGCTTTATCGTCAACAGCAACAGCCCCTTTACGCCCCCTATCCTATTCGTAAAGAAAGCAGATGGCAAATTAAGATTTTGCATCGATTACCGGAAGTTAAATGGTCTCACCCGGAACGATCCCTATGTTATGGCTATGGTAACATGATGTCATGGTTACAGGACCAGGGCCTAGTAACGTGATGTGTGAGTCACAGGGGGCAAGCGGAGTAGGCTGCCATGTGATGGGGCTAATGGATAGTTGCAGAAACTAGTGGATATTGGATAGTTGAGCTATCCATGAACTATCCTGAATATCTAGCTATCTGCCAACTATCCAGATTACCCATGAGGCATGACGCCACTATATAAGTAGATAGTATTTCCTTAGATAGGAGCTTCGTGCTCAACTCAATATAGTATTCTTTACAATACTGTAACGTGTTACTTGGAAAGCCTTTGTGTCTAATCCCCTGCCTCGTCTGTCAAGTCAACCTTATGCAAGAAACCTCTGTGTCTTCTATCATTTAGAAGTCAGCGTTACACCCTACCCCATCCCGCATATCGACGAACTACTAGGACGGGTGTCGAAAGCAAAAATCTTCACGAAGCTAGATATCAGACATGTTACGATGGTCATAGAGGTCATGATGCCAGTCCAGGAAAAGTAATCTAGATTGAATCTAAAGAGAGAAGAAGAAGAAGAAGGAAGGAAGGTGAGGCTATTCCTCATAACATACAGTTGTCTGCTTAGCGGTTGTAATCTTGGTGGCTAAGGCTACACCCATAATCCCCATAACAACCGTAATAACCGTAATAACCGTAACAACCGTAACAAGCTGTGACAAGCTGTGAGCTGTAATCGTAACAAGACAAGCCTTCCATTAAGATACTAAGAATTAGGTCAAAAGTGGGGGCTAAAACTCAATATCTTAATAACTACAAGACTAATTGCTTTAAAAATCAAATAGAGTAAATGCTTATAAAAGGCTAAGTACATATTTTTATAACTTATTATTAAAGGGTTGTTGAGATATTAAGTTATGAAATTCGTGATTTAAGGTGTAAAATGGATTGGCCGGTTTGCTTGTTTGGCTGGTTGGCTATACATGTACGTTACCATATCTTGAACAGCACTATGTCGAGGAGGAAATGGTTGCAAATCTAGGCGAAGAATATGTCGTACAACAACTTCTTCTTCTAATATTGTCAATTTTTGAGACTTAATTAAAGTTGTAACTATATTGTGTAGGTTTCTAGATAAATCTCTTAATGTCGTACGTAGTGTTCGGCACAGATACCAATTACAGCAGTTTGCACAATGCAGCAACTTGATATTAGTATGCAAGATATTGCATTAACTACAGAAGATTGGGCTATTATTAAGGATCTTAAACAACTGTTCTTAATATTTTTTAAACCATCAAGATGACTACAAAGTGATCCTTATCCAACACTAAACTTTGCTATTCCACTTTATTTAAAAATGATAAATAAAGTTAAAAAAATGCAACATGATGTTGGCGAGCACTCTACAATTGGTATTGCCTGCACAGCTGCTTATCTAAAGCTTCATGAGTATTATACTCTTGCAACAAACCAACAATGCAAGCACTTAGCTGTAGCTACAATTTGTGATCCATGGATGAATCATATCGTATTTAAGAAGATTTATCCAGACAGTATAGATGATATATGTTCCGGCCCAGTCGCGAATAATTCATATTCGCGAATAGGCTGGCCCATTCGCGAATGGGCCAGCCCAACCACGAATATGAACCTCTGCGAGCGGGCCGGCCTATTCGCGAATGGGCCGGCCCAACCACGAATAATAGTAATAGTAAAGTAGTAATTAAGAATCTATATACTATTACCAACAGTGTCTGCTCTTGCTCGCTTCCTTCGTGGCCTCTCAACTCGTGGCCTCTCAACTAAAGCTATTCCGTACGACTAGCTAGACCTGAAAAATTACCACAGTCGTGGTCATCATTATGACAGTGTACGCTACACCCCTTTACTTCCTTATAACACTGACACCTCTTTGAATTGCATTGACCCTTACATTGACATGATATTCCAACCCGTGCACTTGTAGAAGCCTCTCTAGCTGCAAGTGCAAGTGTTACTTGCTTTGTAGAAGTAGGAATAGTAATATCAGACCAAAGAGCTTGCTCTACAGCTTGAAGTGATTTTGTAGGTATAAGGCATTGTATAATACCAGAGAGTGTTATAACCTGATACCGGTGTGGATAGGGCTCTTCTAAAATGCGTGCAAAGAGCCTCTTATTATCAGTTGAGGTTCTATCCTCTCGAGGAACCTTGATAGAGACTATAGCTCCAATATCGAAGTGTTGGATATTATGCCTCTTGCTATACTTTTGTATCATAAGAACCCTTGCCTTTGAGTTGCTACTGTAGCCCACTCAATTATAGGATCAATGGGGGCTCTAAGCTCAGTTCTAGGCTGGTCTGCGACTCTACTCCGGCTCCCACGCCGGAGCTCAGAATGAAGCTGCTCTTGCACTTGCTCGAAATTGATCGATTCCGCCGGCTCAGAATTGAGTGAGAGTGAGAGTGCTCGCTCAGAATTGGGTGAGAGCGCTAGCTTAGAATTGAGTGAGAATGCTCGCTCAGAATTGAGCGAGAGAAGTAGCTCAGAATTGATTGAGAGCGCCAGCTCAGAATTGATCGAGGGTGCCAGCTCAGAATTGATCAAGGGTGCCAGCTCAGAATTGATCGATAGCGCTAGCTCAGAATTGATCAATAGCGCTAGCTCAGAATTGATCAATAGTTCTTGCTGGAGCTCACTCTCAAGAATCGGTGCCAACGTTGGATCTTCCTGCTCAACTCCAATTGAGAGATCCTTCTGCGCCTGGCTATTAAGCCAGTTAATATGAGAGCTTCTATCTCGGAATAGTAGCTCAGCTGGTGCGCATCCAATTGTCGAGTGGATTTGAGTATTCATTGCAAGCATAACCTCAAGTAGCCCATCCTTCCACTCCATAGATCCATGATCCATTTTCCATGCTCGTAGCTTTGCTTCAACAACCCCATTGGCTTGCTCAACTAGGCCCTGTGTCTGTGGTGACCATTTCTCTCCATTTATCACTTGAATTCCATACTTGCGTAGTAGGATAAGTAGGGCTCCCTTGAATTTCTTTCCATTATCAGCTTGCATAATCTTTGGAGGTAAGAAAGCTGCGATAAATTGAACAAAGCAGTCTGCAATTGGCCCTGCTTGACAGCGCCTACTATCTCGCATCGCTCGTATCGTATCTCCTACGCGCCGGATCATCACACAGGATTGTGATGTGATCGCACAGGTTCCGGGGTCATCTTGAGAATTACCGACAGCCTGGAAATGGCCAACAAACTGTCACATCTGCTGGGGTTAGTGTTGTTGGTTCTCGGAGTAACATTACTAGAGTATTCTCCGTCCTGAGGACGACAGCCAATTGCCAGGATGATCGGCCCTTTTGTGGCTGCCAATGCCATTGAAGGGTGTTCTGCAAGGCCTCATGTCAAAGCAGGAATCGACCCAACTCTCGGCTCCGAACTCATGGCTGCTGTGTCACCCCAAGGACCAATTCCCATGTTGGACAATCCAGGCCTCCAAACCTCTTACTTCGTGACTTCGCTTCAGCACTGAGCCACTAAGCCGTACGGTCAAGGCCACGAATGTCGTGTTGGAATTGGAAATCCCAGTACCGTGGGTCATATTGATGAGAGTCCGTTAAAGGGTATAGCTGTGTATACTTTGAGAAATGATCCTTTATATGCAGAATCCATTTATATTGCCCTGAAGGCTCATGGCGCATATCAATTAGATCAATTTGAACCCGCTCCCACGCTCGCCCACTTATAATAGGGACTAATGGAGCTTTTGTAGTAGATGGTCGATTTAGAGTACAGTTCTTACACCGCTTTATAATGAACTCTACTTCTTCTCTCTTTAGTCCATAGAACTTTTTGATATTCCATGTTTTTGTACGGCCTGCGTGTAGGAGTTGTAGGTGTTCGTTGATAATAGTATCAAATGCATCGCTCTCAAGAATTACACATCGTGGGTTTTGAAACCTAGTAGTAGGCTTATAGTAGAGCTTATTATGTAGAAGCATAAACTCTGTTTGCGCACGATGCTTAAGTCGTGATTCAATAGGATTTGCAGGTTTCATCGATGGGTTCTGAAGATAGAGGAGTAATTGACGGTATTTTAAGTAGTCCATCCACTCTCTATTACTATAGCTAAAGCTATGAATATAGGTTTGAAAAGCAATGTGCACATCCTGAGGAAATGGATTAATCTGTGCAATAGTAGGGTCTTCCATATTGATGAAGTTGATATAATAGATCTATCTACAATATCTATACTATATTACCCCGCATAGGTTGGGCATCATTCACGGTTGGGCCTGGGCTGGAACATATATGAAGATCACGGGCAAGAGCTTAGTTTGAAGACGTCTGCAGAAAATACAAGACTTGACAATATCATCTTCATACAGAGCGCATTGAACATGAAACAGCACTTTCATTTGCATTAGGAAATGCAAATAACAGAGAGCAAGAGCTGGATTCTGATGAAGACTTATTTGCATTAGAAGGCAAATCATATAAAAAGCCAGAATGGAAATGATGGATGCTTGAACCACGGCCAGATAAAGATACAGACATCTTTAAATATTGGTCTTCAAAGCAATATCAGTATCTAATAGTTGCTCAAGTTGCTCAAGACCATCTGGCAATTCCAGCAACATCTGCCCCATCAGAGCAGGTATTTAGCAATGGCAGTGATATTATCACAAAGAAATGAAACAAGTTACACCATTAACAATTAGATATATACTCTGCTTATGGAATTGGGGTCAGTTGCCAGATGCTGACAGCGACAAGGATGATGCAGATGATGAGGCTGAGAAATAAGACTTATTTGCATTGCAGTATTATATTTTGTTATAGGTCGCAGGTTGTCACTTCTATAGCCCACATTTCATTGTCTACAGTAATTATCAAAGCCTCATTTTTCTTAATTGAGGCTCATATACCTGTTAAAGTATCTGTAAATACCTACCTTACCTAGGCAAGGTCACCTAGATACTTACCTTACCTAGTGAGGACCCAGATACTACCTGGGTAGCATCTGCTGAACACTGGTCGTACGAGGAAGATCGTAGATTTGCCTAACATGAGTTACACTAATTTTTGGGTTTAATTTAAGCACTTGAAGTCAAGAATCATTTCTCTTTCTTCGTACGAAGTTGTCATGTTTAAAATAAAGTTATTTAAGTTTAAAGTCAAAAGTATGATAACGTAAGTCGTGGCGTAACGCGGGGGATGGCGTAACGCGGTGGAAATTTGAAGAGAACACAACAAATCTGTAAATTTAACTACAATCAACGATAATACATGATCCACCATCACTCTTAGATTGTTCCCCTGCTTCTTCCTCAATATACTCGTCAATTTCAATGTCTGAGGAGGCGTTCTTATCCTTTGTTTTGCGCTTTTTCTTACTTGGGTTATGTGTCGCCTTTTCCGCCTCCATCACCGCATCACACAACTCTTGCGTAGAAACATGAAAGTGACCCTTCAGAATAACCCTTTTCCCCTTCGTACCTACCGTACGTTGCTTTATAACTGCTCGCAGGTTGTTGGCATCGAGTTGGTGGACAATGCTGCGTGCTCGAAGTTGCTCTGACGCAACTGTGAGTTTTTGGATGTACATCCGCACTGGTGTTGACAGCACCCCACCACTATTAATTGTAGTTGTAAGAAGCGCATTTGCAGAGCGTAAGGTCATCCCATCTGGGGGGGAGCTGTTGATAAAGACTCGGTCAAAAATATCATACTGATGTGGTGTTTTTGGTCGGTCAGCCTCGACTGATGGTTCAGCATTGAGCAGCGTACGCAATGCTCGCTGGGGATTAAAAGGAAACAAGCCAGCGCCACGGTATGCTGACTCAATGTTCTGATGGTTGCATACATCAAGCCGTGCCTGGATGTATGCCTCCATGTAACGCTGACTTCTAAACGATAGAAGACACAGAGGTTCTCTTGCGTAAAGGTTTACTTATCAGAGGAGGCAGGGGATCGGACACAAAGGCTTCAAGTAACACGTTACTAGTATATAACAAATACTGTATTGAGTTGAGCACGAAGCTCCTATCTAAGGAAATACTATCTACTTATATAGTGGCGTCGTGCCTAGTGGACTCATGGGAACTCACTCGAGTCCTCGGAGTCCTGGACTCTTAGGATTCTCCTCATCATCCTGCGAGTCCGTCACGTGATACTTTCGGAACTACTATTCCCCGCTGCCCCTCCAGGTACCAGGGCCGGTCTCATGCGACCTCCCTCCTTCCTGTCCTGTAGTTGGCCAGCCTTCTTGTTCCGTCGTAACACTCCATCCATTCATACTTCTGTATGCGCGCAAGTTGCGCTTGGTTGAGTGGGGAGAGCGCTACTGTCAGATGCTTTTTTAGCGGGCCGAATATCGCAACATCCAGTGGTTGTAGTAAGTGCGATGTATGAGGGGGAAGTATCAGTAATACAATATGGTTCTGCATGCAATGCGCAATGAAACTCCCGCTAATGTGTGAGTCGTGGCCATCACATATAAGAAGCCGGTGCTGACCATCTGCTTTTGTACGTGTTGTTGGCTCGAAGATGCGTTTTAACCACTCCAACCCATGGAGGTTGCTTGTCCAGCCTTTCGTATTTGCAGAGAAGAACCACTGGTCGATGACTGCGGGCGGAATCCATGATTGGAGAACGTTCTTGCCCTTAAAGATCCCGAGGGGTGGGAGGATGGTTCCGTCTGCGCAGATGCACTCGACCATCGAAACCCATTCCTGACGGCCAGGATGCGCTTGATGCTTCGTACGAAGCGTTGAATCAAGTATAATTCGAGTAGATTCCATTGTCCCAATCGAAAATCCGGATTCATCCATGTTATATGTGTTCTCTTGCGTGATTCCAAACTCTTGAACCACCTTGGTGTACGCGTTAAACCATGCCGTAAGCACTGGTTTTGTTGCACCGTCCATGCGTACAGTTTCGATCCGTCGCCCAATAGCGACCTGTAGATGGGGATGTCGTTGTATGAATCGTGGTACCCAGTCGCGACCGAGGGAAAATCGTGGTTGGGGTAGAAGTAAGTTTGGCGTCGCGTCGTCAAAATTGAGTGACCAGTGCGACCGGAGTTCTTCAGCTATTTCCTTCAACAACCGATGCCCTGGAGAATAGCCGCTGATTGTTAGGTTTTTAATCCACTTTAGAAGTATCTGTTCTTGCGCGCCTGATAAATTCTGCTGTTTCTGGCGGGCTTGGGAGCATGTCAAACCTCCATTGACGCGTCGCGTCACTGAACTCTTCGGCAGCCCCAGCACTTTCTCAGCGTGATATGCACTCTTATACTTCTTAGATTGGACGTCTAATACTGCCTGGGCTATTAAAGTTTCACGCTCAGCAACACCCAGGCTTTTACAGCGAACCATTGTTGAGTTATTCACAGTTATCAGAAGTCGGCGGGGTGAATTCCCCGCGTTACGCCATCCCCCGCGTTACGCCACGACTTACGTTGCTAAGAAAAAATCGACGGTGAGCTTGTGTAGGCGACTCGCTTGTGAACTATTCACAAGCGAGTCGGTCACTAAATTTCTCACCTAAAAGCAAGTATTTTGCGAGATAATTACTTAGTAAGAACTTAATAATATTTTGTCACTTAGGCCATAACCTAAGAGTCGTTTTGCCTACGGGGATAAATATACACCGGACAAACGTTCGGAGTTTTTATGAGATTGTGGGACCAAGGTGTTACACGAGCGAAACGACCGTCCGACCGTCGCCGTAACGTTTGGTATTATTCGTACATATATATAAGTAACGCATTATAAGTGCAATGACAAGTGCTCGCATTGTATGTACATTTATCATGTCGGTCTCCATGAACGCTCTCGTCCTGTATGGACCAGGCGATCTTAGGCATGAACGAGTAAACAAGCCCGAAGCATCCGCTGGCTCCATCGTCGTGCGCGTCATTGCGGCTCCGATATGGGACTACGTGGTTCGTGCGCATCCATACATTGACTTACAAAAAGAAAGTTTTACAGGAGATTAACAATTGCACAGTCGGAAGTCCTCGATGGCTCGCTTCCCTTCCCTCACGCATACCCGCTGGTGTTTGGAACTTGCTGCGTCGGACGCATTGATGAGGTCGGACCCGATGTTGCTTCGCTGAAGCCGGGGCAGCTAGTGTTTTGCGACCACATCGTTTACTTGAGGGATGCGCCGGAGAAGCGAATCGTTTTGGGTAAGTGAAGACACATCGCCCTGGTAGCAATCCGTCCGTAGACGTCAGAAAAATGCTGACGACGGGTTATGTAGGTTATCATGGTGGGCACTCAGAGGAGGAGCTCAAGTTCTCGTCGAGTCACTACAAAGACGGCTGTTTCGCCGAGTATGCCCGCTTTCCGACTGAGAACGTGCACGTTGTTAACGAGCAACGCATCGCGCAGCATGGCGTCACGCCAGCACAGCTAGCTGAAATTTCCAGTATCATGTCTGGGGTTGGTGCCGCCAATGCTATTCACGTCCGGCCTGGCGAGACGGTGCTCGTGATGCCGGGGACGGGCTTCTTCAGCTCAAGCGCAATCGTCGCCGCGTTGGGCCTTGGCGCTAATGTCGTGGTGACGAGCCGGAGCAAAGACACCCTCAGCGCCTTGATGCACCATTTTGGAGATGATGGCAAGCGTATTACGCCCCTCGTGCTCACAGGCGATGTCACGACAGATGTCGATACACTTCGCGCTGCTACGCCGGATGGCAGGGGTGCTGACGCATATATTGATTTCTCCTCTCCGGAGATGATTGGGTCCACACACCTTGAAGTTGGGCTGCACACTTTGAAACGCTTTGGACGGTATGTCATGCTTTGTGCACTTGGTCACGATTAAGGGGACTGGCTATGACTGACTATGACTGCATACAGATGCTGCCTAGCTGGCATGATCCCGGGGAAAGTGCCATTGCCATATTTGACCATCAGGGCAAATTCTATATCGATCATCGGCTCATTCGCACAAAATCGGCAAGACGTGGAGTTCACGATCAGGCTTATAGAGGCGGGCAACCTCAAGCTGCGCAAAGACATTGCGGGAGCATTTGGCCTACGCGACATCGACGAGGCATTAAAGTTGGCAAAGGAAGCACCAGGGTGGGGGAAGATGGTGATCATAACGCCATGAGATTGAGCAATGTAGACATTTCAAAATGCAGAACAATTAAAGGGCGTTAACCGATGTACCTTGTGTACTGCCTCCACTCACGATCCTTTGCCAATCCCTCTAAATCAGCGCCAGGCAGACACATAACAATGGGGATTGCGCCGCTCTCGACTGGGCAAATAGTAATGCCTCCTACAAGAGGCGAGCAATTCGGACGGCGGGTGCACTTGAGGCGGCCTAGCACAGGTCCGAAATCTTCCGGTATGGCCGAACCATCATCGTGACTAGTCGACTGGCTCGCAGTGAAAGCCGTTGTCCCCAGATCGGTGTCAAGGTTGCGTAGACCAGCATACACGAGACGTGACTTGTCTGGCTCGCGCGCGAGGAAGGTAGCGTAGCTGCGGATCGCCCACGTCGTGTTCGCAGCGTTGAGCTCGCGGCGCAGCGTCTGCGCGATGCTGGATAGTGGCAGCGACGCGACTAGGCGCATGGGAAGCTGCGCTACTGCATAGTAGGTCAAGTGTCCCATATACGTGATGGGTACGCCGAGGGCGGCTCGCGCGTCAATGATCCGCGTCATCTTTGTCATAGTGTCCGGCGAGAAGCCTCGCGCAAGACGCATTGCGGTGATGCGCTGCCAGCAGAAGGCACAGATCACGTCATTTTCCGACAGCTGCTGCTGCTGTGACGGCGGGGATGCCAACTTTTTGAGCGTAGGCAGGGCCGAAACCGGAAGCTTGAAGTAGCACCATTTCGGAGGCGACGATGGAGGGACTGTAATGTGGCCGGGAGGAGCTCGCAGGTGGCTGTGATCCTTGACGGGCTCGCCGCGGGGAATCAGTGGCACCACGCGGCGGCGGTCGCGGTTTGCCTGCTCTTTGTCCGTGGCGGCTATCTCCTGGCCTTGGAGCACAGTGGCCAGTAGACGCATAATCTGCACGATGCCATTGCCGTCGACGGCCATGTGGTGGGTGGAAAGGTTGATGATGACACCGCCCTGTAAGAAATTGACCTGCAGCAACATCACCGGCAGCGGCGGCTCCAGGCCATGCGGCAGGGGAAGACTGGGAAATGGCGTGAGGATTTTGGCGTCGAGCATCGATATGGGCGCACCTGCCCGCACAATCTGCGCTATTGGCGGCATGCGGTCCTCACAGTCTTTAACGCGCACCATGTCGTTCTTGTGCGCACTTAAAGGCCATGGAGCCAACATGTAGTGCCCTGAGTTTCCTGGTGGCCCGGGATTGTGCAAGACTTGGCCGGCCAGCCATGGCACTTGCGCGGTGAGTTTGGCCAAGGCAGCGTGGACCGTGGCAATGATAGTCTCTCGCGACGTGTCGGCATCCGGCTGAAAGAGGAAGACAATATGACTGTAGCCGTTCAGAAATGGGAATTGAGACACGACATCTTGGTGAAGCTCATCTATACTGTCAACTTGCGTTTTGGACTCCGCCTGTGCGGGTTGCTCGGGAGCGCTAGCACTCGTGTCCTCGACATAAGGACGGAAATCCATTGTGAAGAAGCTTAATGTTATGCTGAAGACGAGATAGAAAATTCATGTATAATACAGATGGGCCGGAGTTTCAAATCTCCGACTCTTCCAATCATGTCGCGTATGCTGTGGCCCGATGGCAGCCACACGGAGCTTGCAGAAGTGCTCGCTGCCAGGACGTCTAATATTTACTCTCGGCACCCTAATTATTGACCTGCAGGACCAGAATGGAGGGGCGTCGAGTAGGCGTGCGGCCCAGACAACCAGAACCGGCGACGGAAGCCGACCATGGCCTTGCGAGAGCTGCCATGCCGGCCGTCCTTGTGCTTTTTATATAAGATGCCACTGGAGAGACTCTCATATCGAAACGCGGCTCTATTTAAATTGTTTCACAGTGATCAGAATCATAATGCATCTTAATCTATTGTATTTGTACCTGCTGGCTGCCAGTCTCGGATTGGCTGTCGCTCAACCCAATCTGACTGCATTATACGCTCCCGGCTTGTCCGCAGGATCCGAGATCTTCTATCCTACGGACTCCGACTACAGCGAAGTGACACCAAGATGGAATCTCTATGATGCGCCAACTTACTTTGGAGCCATCAAGCCGGCTACTGAGGCAGATGTTCAACATATTGTAAAGGTCTCCGCACAAAATAATATCTCCTTCCTAGCCACTGGCCGCGGCCACGGCAGCACAGGTACACTAGCGGCCCTCAATGGCATTGAGATCGATCTCAGCCACTTCCGAACAGTTGACCTAGACGCCGAGAACAACAAGCTCACCGTCGGGGGAGCTGTCAACTTCTCCCAATTGTTTGATCCTCTGTATAATGCAGGGAAGATGCTGCGTACGTCATGCAATTCACTCCTGCTATCCCGATCCTCAAGAAGAACTTTTCATGTGAAGAGAGCTGTGCTGATTCCTATTTTTATAGCATTCGGCAACTCAAGGTGCGTAGGACTTCTTGGGGCTTCGCTTGGAGGGACCATTGGTGTCATGCAGGGAATCCTCGGACTCGGAGTGGACTACCTCGATTCAGTGCGCATGGTGACTTCAAACGGAGAGATTGTGGAAGCTTCCAAGACGAAACACGCCGATTTATTCTGGGGTATGCGCGGTGCCGGTGCCAACTTCGGCATTGTAACTTCGGCGACGTTCCATCTCCACGACCTCTTGAATAGCGGCGACCTAACCAGCATTGATCTCCTCTACCCCGGAAGCGCCAACGCGACCATATACGAGGCCCTGAAGACGTATGATGACGATATCCCGAACGAGCTCACCATAAACGTTGCTTCGACATACAATCAGACCAGTGGACAGGTTTGTGTGCCGTAGACTAGCCCCAAAACATACATCGAAACATCAGTCGCTGACATGTCTCTCCACAACCAGTCCGCAGTCATCGTCAATCTAGTTTGGTTTGGCCCCGAGGCAGACGTGACGCAGCATATACAACCTTTCATTGTCGCGGGCCCAACGACTACCAATACGAAAACTGTTCGATGGACAGATTGGTACACGGTAGCTCTCTTCGGCGCATATGTTAGCCCAGGCGCAACCGACTGTACCTATGGCCAGTATTACAACGCATACACTCTGGGAATCGCGCAGACGGACCCGGTCGCCATGACGGCGCTCTTCAACAACATCACCGCATTCTCCAGCGAGAACCCCGACTTCACTGGCTTCTTCGGCGTGAACCGCTACCCCAACGCCGTGGCTCTGAGCGTCGAGGACAATGACACCGCCTACCCTTACCGAGGGGTCAAGTCGCAAATGTGAGTTGAAGCATGCATGAAATGGGGGAAGTTTGCATCCGTGTCCCTTTCAGCTTACAATATCACTCTAGAACTATACAGAGCAACTACCATCCCAACGCGACACTCAACGACGCGGCTAACCACTTCTTCAAGGATGCGCGAGCCGTGATGCAGGAAACGAGCGGCTTGGATTGCTTATCCATCTACGTCAACTTTGCTCACGGCGATGAAGGTCCGGAAGCCTGGTACTCGCATCGAAAGCTTGCCAGGCTCTCCCGTCTCAAGCGGAAGTGGGATCCGTCGAACCGTTTTGGCTTTTACCAGCCAGTTCCCCTGCACTATCATAGAGCGTGAGAACATATCACTTGTCGATACGCTTTCTTTTGGAGCGGATCGATTTCGACGGTTGTAGCGCGAGAGATGAATGCGACGAGGCTGTTAGTCCCAAGAAAGGTTTTTGCAACGGCTGATCTTGACTCTGGGCAGATTCTGAGGCTATGTACTGTATACACCAGTAGGACAGCATTTCGTGCAACTACCGCTTAGGCCTCAGAAATGAAAAGTTTTTGTGAAATCTTGGAGATGACCCGTGCGTGATGCTAAACCACGAGGGCTAAACCACGGCCCGCATCTATAGGTGGGGCGTGGCATGGATGTTGCATAGGGATGGGACATAATCGCGGGGTTAACTCCTAACACCGCCAAGTTACTGCGGGGACAAGGGGTTAACCTGGGCGGGCAGGTACTCAGTATAATCTCCGACTTCCTACTCTACTCCTGCTCCGGTCTTGCTATGGGGTTCTGCTCTAGTCCGGACGTCCGGATGTCCGTACCCCGCACCTATTCGCACCCATAGACTCGAGTGTCCGTCTCCGTCGCTGCGGCCCACAGACTTACAAGACTCGACTGTCCGTCGCCGCCGCCGCAACGGGTCCGGCCCCAAAGTCATGTCGAGCGGATATCCGCTCTCCGTCTCTACTTTCGCACACGCGTCGATACGAGGTAGAGCTGAAGGCATGGCTTCCCGTCAAGCCGCACCGTCCGGCCTGGCATGTATGCAGTGCTTCAAGGCGAAATGCAAGTGCGCGAGTCGCCCGGACGGCGACGGGTGCGAAAGGTCAGTCATGCGACGAACATTTTTGGATATTATATCACGTGATCGAGCTTGTCGATTGACAGCTTTCACAGATGCCATCACCTCAAGAAACAGTGTCAGCCATCGGATTCGTTGCGCAAGATCACTAATGCCCAAAGACGGCATAATTTTGCGGCGAGGATCGGTGATTTAGAGGGAGAGGTCGACAGCCTCGTCAGGCTGCTCTCCCTCGCCGCACAGTCGCCTTCTTTGTCTGTGACCTTGCGGAGCGTTGTCCGTGAGGATGAAACCCTGGCCGGCTACGCACACCTACTCTCACAAGATGACTCAGGTAAGACCCCTGACCCAGAAAAAATCCGCCGAGAGCGCATAACGCTCACGCACGAGCTATGCTAGATTGGCCCTCGAACGCGGCCGATACTGCCATGGGAGGAGATGACGACACCGCCACTCAGCCTTCTAGAAAAAATTCGTTCGCTATCGACTTATCGTCGCCATATGCCGGAGGTACCATCTCTGGTACTCTTGCGAGTACACCTCTTGCCCCAGATGGCCCTTCAACGCACGACTTAGAGACTTGTGTCACCATATTTCGTGACAAGATGCTGCCGTGTTTCTCTTTTACCGATATTTCCCCTAATGTGACAGTGCAGGAGCTGCAGCGCGATCGTCCCTTTCTAGTGCGTGCTATTTTGGCCGTCGCATCTCCCTCCAGAGAGCAAAAGCTAGCATATGGATGGGAGCTGAAGGAAGTTTTGGCCCAGATGACACTGGTTCAAAATCAGTCTAGTCTTGATCTGCTGCAAGGACTACTAACCTTCACGGCTTGGAGCTATGACCACATGCTCAACCCGACGGGCACGCTCTCCCGGCTCATATTGTTGGCTATATCGCTAGCATGTGACCTCCGTCTAGACAAGCCGTTACCGTCGGATGAACATATGATGAAGCCTATGGTCGATGGCTCCTCTGAACAGGAAAACAATACCACGAAGCATTGGTTTGTTGTAGAGGAACAACGGGCCGTCTTAGCATGTTATGCGCTGAGCTCCATGTGCGTCATCTCCTCTACTTTTTGCACGCAAGATTCTGAAAATATCATGGCCTCATCTGCCTGCTGAAAAAAACTGCAGAGCATCGTCAAACTTATGTCTGGAATTGCTGACGAGGTGCTAGAATATCCATATATTTCGCGCAGATTGACGTCATGAAGTGGAAGCCGCGAATGGAAGAATCTCTCCGCGCTATAGAGGCCAACAGGGAGTGCCACTCAGACGTGGCTTTTGCATTCCAAGTCCGCCTCCAGCTACTGGCGCAGAAAGCAGTCCAGGTCAGAGAACAGCGAGAGTGGGACTCGGCTCACGTAGACTCAGATACGGGCCCGGCTCTTTCGGCCAACTTTTACATTCGAACCCTTCAAGAGCAGCTTCATCAGCTCAACGAATCTCTTCCTGCAACACTGCAACGACGAGGTAAGTAGACATTAATGCGCTGCAGGCTTTACGAGCCTTGCCGTAGCTCGTTTGGCTTCAGATGGCTCACTAACTTTGGCCAGGTCCACTTATAATGCACATGCACTACATCGAACTCTGCATGACCGAAACGGCTCGCACACTATATCCCAATGCTCTTCAAGGACCAATACCGTGGCCTGGAGGCAATAGCGGCAATGGCGCCAGCATGAGCGGCGCTAACTCGCTTGGCTATGAGCGTCTCGACTTTTCATGGCGGTCTGTGGGCGCCATCAAAGCGTGGATGGAAATGTTCTTTTCGCTCTCGCCAGCTGAATGTGCAGGTCTCTCGTTCATTCACATGGCGCAGCTGGCGCGATGCTTGATGGTCTTATACCGGCTGTCGACTTTCGTCCATCCAGCTTGGGACTGCCATTTGGTGCGCAGCACCGTGGACCTTCTACTGGTGCTGGATGGCGTTGCCGACAAGCTGGAGCTTGCCAGTAGCGAATCAGGTGAGATATCGTCCGAAGACCAGTTCATGCGTCTGTCAAGGATGATGCGCAAGTTCCGCGCCAATGCCGTCTCCAAAATGGGCCAGAAGACGACCGCAGGTACCCCCTGGCTCAACGGGGACGCAGTTGGTGGCAGCGAAGGTGCGGCCGTTCAAAACCCGACCCTATCGGAATCAATGATCAACCTAGGTGATGATGCATTTTTGGAGAGCATTTTCGGGGATTTTAGGACCGATGGCCTATATAACAAATAATTAGACAGCTAACAATCGCCACGGCACGTAACGTAACGTGTACTTTTTACACCAGCAAATGAATGAACAGGACGCCCAGGACCGTGTAGAGCAGTTCATGTACGCATTATTTACATGACTTGCTTTGGCCGAGTTTTTTAATCTGCCCTTAACCAATTCCAGGGTTGTGGTGGATGCTCTACCTTCTGAAGTTTTGTCTTGAAAGGTGTGCATGTAAGGGGAGCTGAAAACTTTGGCGATTCCCTACCAACGTACTTTTGAGTATGAGTTAAGTTAGCGATTAGGTTAAAATTAAATAGTTTGAAATTCGTCTCCAAATTAAGGTCAAGTTTTGACTTAACCTGCTTTGACTTGAATTTGTTAAACACACGCTAGACTATTTTAGGAACCGGGCCGCGCAGGTTTCTCAGTTCTCGGATTTTTGTGCAATCTTTATAATGTAACTTAGGCCAATTTAAGAAAATTATAAATCAGCACCGCCACCACTGTAATCTAATGTCGAAGATGAGTTTTGGACATGTCCGCCTCCGTCCGTTTTTTTCACCAGGTTGTCTCACCTGTCGGATCGGACGTCCGTTCGCCCTAGAAATTTCCAACACAGGAATGGCTGACGGATAACCCAATACCTACGTGACAGTCCACTTTCAAATCCGCACTTACTATTCTAAATTGTCCTACAATTATTACTGACCATAGGAATCTGAGAATCATAACCGATCCAATATGACTAGCGGCTCGCCTTCGGAGTCAGCAAGTTCGAATACTGCCGTAGGACAGGATGTCCCCTGTCAAGCAAAGACGAAGGACCAGATGACAAGCTCGACTCTCGAATTGCCAAGCATTGAATTAGCATCGCAGACAGAGGTCGGCGTCCAAGAAGAAGAACAAGGAAAGGAAAAAGAAGAAGAAAAAGAAAAGGAGCCCTCAACCGACAAGCCCGAAGATGAGCAGCTAAATATATCCGGGCTTCAGCGCGCCCTGATTATCGCGCCTGTCACCCTCATCTACTTCCTCGTCATGCTCGACAGTTCCATTATCTCTACGGCAATCCCGCAGATCACTGACGACTTCGACTCCGTGCTTGACATAGGATGGTACGGCAGCGCGTACCAGCTCGCTAGCTCGGCGTTTGTGCCGCTGGCGGGCAAGATCTATACTTTTTTCCCTACGAAGGTAAGTCGACATTATCATCGCTAGGGGCATCGTTTCCCAAGCGGGCCAATTATCGCATGCTGACGTATTCTTTCCATTGTCTGATAGTGGTCCTTCCTCGTCTTCTTCGCCATCTTCGAGATGGGATCGGCGCTGTGCGGCGCCGCGCAGTCGTCACCCATGCTCATTGTTGGGCGTGCCATTGCCGGCTTGGGAGGATCGGGGCTGATGAACGGCATCCTGACCATCCTGTCATCCATCCTTCCACCGGAGAGGCTACCGCGGGTCATGGGCCTCAACGTGTCACTTGGTCAGGTGGGCATGGCGTGTGGCCCGCTCATCGGCGGCGCCTTGACGCAGTACGCCACTTGGCGTTGGTGTATGTGTTTCCCAGCTTTTTCTACCAGCTGTGAGCCTCACCGAGAGACTTGTTTGATTCTGACGAGACACGATCATGCAGGTTTCTACATCAATTTGCCCATTGGCGCCGCGGTCGGGGGACTCCTGATACTGCTCAGAATCCCGGAGGTGAGGGCCAAGCCGCCCGTGCGCGAAGTGCTCGGTAAGGCAGTGTCGAAGATGGACCTGACCGGGCTAGTTCTGCTGTGGCCCGCGGCCATCATGTTCTTCCTCGCACTGCAGTGGGGTGGGAACCGGTTCGCGTGGGGCAGCGCCACGGTGATCGGGCTGTTTGTTGGCGCTGCCGCAATGTTTGCCATCTTTCTAGCTTGGGAGTACAGCCGTGGTGACGACGCGCTGCTGCCGTTCTCGATGCTGCGAGTGCGAGTTATCTACTCGGCCTCGGCAACCATGTTCTTCTTCATGGGAGCCATGTTCCTCCAACACTACTACTTGCCCATCTATTTCCAGGCTGTCAAGGGTGACGATCCATTTATGAGCGGTGTGCACATTCTGCCGACCATCATCAGCCAGGTCATTCTTGCCATGTCGGCGGGGGCGCTTAGTAAGTATAACCTGTTCCTATCCTTTAACATTGAGTCTCCAGTCATGAAAATCGTGCCAACTGACACTCTCCCTCAAAAGTCCAAAAGCTAGGCTACTATCTTCCCTGGGCACTTTCAGGGACGGCCCTTGACACTATCGCCTACGGTCTCTATTCCACACTAAGCCCCACAACTCCGGTTGGAAACTGGATAGGTTACCAAATTCTCGGTGGCGTGGGAAACGGCGCCGCTGCGTCCAGCGTACGTGTCCAGTCGTCTGGCTCCCCATAAATAAACAGGGCGCTCTTTTCTAACGTCCCGCAGTCCTACATAGCCATCCAAAACACCGTACCGCGAGCCTCCATCCCCACGGCCATGGCAATCCTTATCTTATGCCAGAACCTCGGCGCGGCCGTTTTCCTGACGATGGGACAGGCCATCTTTAGCAACAGCCTCACCGCGGCCATCACTAGGGATGCGCCGGGGGTTAGCACCAAGGCGGTGCTCGCGGGCGGGGCACGAGAGATTCAAAAGCTGGTATCTGCGGAGCAGCTGCCTGCGGTTCTGCGGGCGTACGGCAAAGCTATAGATGCGGTGATGTATCTGGGGATTGGACTCGGGGGTTTGGCATTTGTGTGTGCGTGGGGGTTGGGGTGGAAAGACATTAGAAAGAAAGCGTAGGGATGTAGGATTGGAAGATATCTAGGCATGAAAATGGTGGTTCTGAACGAAAATGGTGACCCTGAATGTGAAATATGATGCTATAATAATGACACGATTGGTTTTGGTGTTTCGGAAAGGGGCTTCTCGACTTAACCGACAACTCTGTGATATCTGGGTGACACCGTCTGGCGTTCTGCATGTGGCATGCTGCATGTGGCTTGAATTTCCTTAGTATCAAGTTCCATACAATGTGTGTCAAATGTGAAGCTTAGACGTTATATTCGTGGCTTCACTACAAATCTGTCACGGATCGAGACTAGGAGTTTTATTCTATTCATTCTCGTGACTTCAAGGATAGACCATTGCAACATTTCGACTGTGATACTGAGATTAGGCGTATAGCCCTCCCCATTTATTGCTCATTCAAGAAGATCTCTTTGGTGGGAAACTATCTTGGCTCCCCCGTCTTAAGTCGCGGTCATCTTAGCAAACAACTTGGCCGCATATTGCTCCTCCACCATTTTTTTGGCGACAGCGGTACGCTCATCGAGGTCTTCCTTAGGAAGCCCAAGCTTCTCATTGTCCAGACCGCGCGTGCTCTCGTAATCTCCCCCGCCGTTAGGGAAAAACGTCCTGACGAACGAGGCCGACGCGGCGCCCATGCGCGCAGACATGGGATCCTGTGCGCTCTTCATCAGCTCCATGGCCTTCTGATAGCGCTCCTTGCTAGGCTCCTCTTCAACGATCCAGTCCGAGTCGTTATCGCCGGAGACGCGCTTCCAGCTCTCGAACATGTCGACCTGGCTAATCAAAAAGCTCGAGATGACGAGCGGCTTGTAGCGCCAGGTGTCGACCGTTAGGCTTGTGTCGTTTTCGTCCTCGGGCAGCTCCTTCAAGCTCAGCAGCGCGACTACGGCGCGCGCGCACTGCTCCCACGTAGTGACGTTGATCTTAGTCTTGCCGTCGTCGAACAAGGTAAGCTTCTTGTTAGTGAAATCAAAACCGAACCAGATAGGGCCCATGGCCAGGCTAAACTCATACCACATGCTACAGACCATGGAGGTCCAGGAGCAGCCGGAAGACTCAATTTCCGCGAGAATGCTCGTGAAGTCGACGCTCAGCGGGTTCTCGCTGATCAGAGCCTCATTGGAGTCGTCCAGGCCGTATATGTTGGGCATGATGCGGGGAACCCCGGCTTTAGCGGCCGCCTGAACAATCCTGGAATGGGTGTCCGGAGCGGCCGTGGCGCCGAGGGTGATGATAAGAAACTGCTGGCCTTTTAGGGCGTCGACGATGCTGGACTCATCATCGTAGTCAACGATAACCGCTTTGACGCCGGCCGCGAGCTCGTTCGTGCTGCCATGGCGCGTCAGGGCGGTTACGGTGTGCTTGCCGGTCTCGAGGAGAGTTTTCGCAAAGTGCGCGCCCATTTGGCCGCCTGCCTTAGTCTCAAGTTAGTACCGCATGTGCATATGGTGGAAGTAAGTGATTTGAGGATATGGAGAGATTTTGCAAATCATGGCAGCTAAACTGGGCTGAACTTACTCCAACGATAGCGACCCGCTCAATGCGGTTAGTAAAGCCTTGAGGCATGTCGTTGGCGTACTGCGGAGCCATGGTTTAAGCAAAGGTATAGTATGAGATTTTGAGCCCCACGGGGATATTTTAGGACGTCGAGTAGGGTCTTGCAAGAAGGCTGCGACAAGGCTAGACTGCCTGGTAAGGGAAATTACAGTAATGACAGTAATGACAGGAAATATGAAGCGAGGCTCACGTCCACGTAAAGTGCTAAGGAAGCCCATCGGACGCGGACCACCGTAAACCGGACGCGGATACCGCACACCGGACACGGACACCGGACCGCTGACTCAGCGATACCGCTATCTCTGCCTGCACAATCCTTTTAAAGCAACACTTCATCCCCTGTTCTCCGTCCTGTGGCGTCCCCCTAGTGTCCTGTAGCAATTAGCACAATCTCAGCGGCGTTCTAGAGCCCTGATGCCTTGGGAACAGACTACGGCACAATTGGTTGAAGTACTTATTTTTACCCCTCAGCTCGCTTACGTTTGCCTTTGACGTCACATTCGCTAGTGAAACGAGCTGACGCTGATTTTAGCCGGATATGTAATGCAGTAAAAGGAGTAAGCGCACAGATACGAAATTCCTCGCATAGTGAAAACTATCGCTAACTGAGCGACAGCCCCAGTAAGCCCATCGCTTATCTCCCGTCTCGGCCCGTCCCGTCTTGGCCCGTCCCATTTCGGCCCGTCCCACTCTACGCGAGAATGCGAACTAGTGGCCCCTGCAGCTTACTAGTCTACTGCGTGCAGGTGGGGGTGGTTCAAAATTCACGCCGCTGAACCCGCTATTTAACCCTGGCAGTTTAATTCACGCTGACATCGCGTATCCGGCCCAAAAAAAAATCGCCAGAAGAGGATTTGTGTGCGAGAGGAATGCATTTTGTCGGATGAGGGACTAAAATTATGGAATCATATATGACAGTGTCAAGACTACCAGCCTGTGTGGTCTCTCTTTCTTTTCCTCGTTGGTAGTCGTCTATCATGTACTGGAATCTACCTGCTACTGTCACTAACCTTTCTGTTACCCTGTTGCGTGCTTATGTGCTGCTCACCAACAAGTTGAACATCCTGCTCTAACTTGGTCAATAGGCAGCGTGACAGGTTCTTTGTTTGCTGTAAATTCCTCAAAGATCCAAGTAGTGTATTCAAGTCATCGTCTCGGTTGCTATGACCTGTTGTAGTAGGATTTAGTGATCCTGGAAGCCCCATGAGAAACACAGCAGCCTGATGTATCAAGGTTGGTAGAAACGGGTGTGTCTTAAAGTGGCTGATAGAGCGCGGTATCATCTTGACGAAATGGGCCAGCTCGCTCGCCGCCTGCAACGCTTGCTCCTCGTACGCAGGATCCGCGCTTTCGTGGTTGACGGTCGTCCAAGCCATCGAATGTGCCATCGCTTGGTATACGTAAATGGCGGCGCAGGCAGCCAGCGCATACGCGAAGGTCAGCATGGGATCGTCGACGGCGTCGGTACAGTCGGGCAGGCTCTGCACAAGCAGCTGCTTCCGCTTTTCGAGGGCCAGGGCAAACCATGATTTCCGTGAGTCGGCCCCTGCGGAGACGAGCTCAGCCCGGGCAAAGCGTTGGTATGACATGCAGCGGCTGAACAAGCTGTTTAGGACGACACATTTGGCGAATGGGGGAAGCACGGTGCAGCCGTTACGTGCTAGTGCCTCGGGCAGAAAACCCATCCGGATCGGTTCGCTGTTGTGGAAGTTTTCCTCTGGTGCTGGAAGGCGTGTGCGGATCTACAGCTCCAGTCAGTCCAGCCCAGTCGTCCCGTTGGTGTTTGGACGCCTCTGTCAGATAGGGATTGCCACTCACCGAATCTTCTTGCAGGGACAATGGGCATCCGCTACGCATGAGGCAGAATCGATCGAAACAGTACGCAAGCCAGAACGTCCGCCTCTTTTCCTCAACCTGTGCAAATGTTTCATCGCCGGACAAAAGGGATGGTGAAACCAGAGGTGACTCTGCGCCTAACGACATGAACGGGACGCTGCATGCATCGACGTCGTGAAACCGCGCCAGCTGGACCATGCGGATTCCGCGCCCGGCAGTGAGCATGGCCTGGTGCTCATGCTTGCAAAGCAGCTCCCAGTGGGCCACCAGCAGCCATGCTTGGATCTGTTCTATGGGAGTCTCGCCGCAGTCGCCGGCGCCGTCGGCATCCATCTGTTCAAGAACCCGGCGCGACTCGGCGCACAGCATGCTCGAGAGCGGCCGGTACTGTGCCGAGACAGCGGCAGCGACTGCTCGCATGGCGTACTGCAGTGCTATCCGGGCGGGAGATGGGCAGTTCTGGCTTACCGAGGCGAAGTAGTTTCGCCTGTGTATATTTGGCGCAACTTGGTAGACCCTGTCGAAGTATAGCTCATCACTAGTGATTGCCGAAAACTACGCGTTAGATTGAAATAATATACAATGGGAAAAGTGGGAGTTGCAGAGAATCCGCTTCGGGAATGAAGGTGGGGCTGTGATGTGATGGCATGGAGAACACATACAGATCTACCTTCATCAGGTCTGATAGAGCGCAGCCACCGAGATGCTGCATGTTTGTTGGTGTGAAGACTTGCTGCGTACCGGATACTGTCTTTGGAGGTGATAGATCTGCGTCACCATCAAGCCAATCGCTGATGAAAGTTTGGTCAAACATGGCATTACTTGGGCTTCCGTGCAACCCCCAAACGGAGTTCATATCAACATTTACGAAACCAGGGATTTGAAAGAGTGTCCTTTCCGGAAGAGTGCTTGATAGTCCTGTGTTTTCAACATTTGTACTTTCGAGACTCGTGCAATCGAGACCAGTGCTTTCAAAGGCTGCACTACCAAGAGTGTCGTTCTCCAAATGAGTTGAGAGTGTCGCTGGCTCTGTTTCTGCAAGTGAGGCATCGGGATTTATTCGAGTATCCGATAGAATAGCGTCATGGTCAGGCTGCGCTTTTCTCATCTGCTCGCCGAGGCGTTGCTCGAGATTAGCTGCAGGAAGTCAGCTTCCATCGATCGTATGGACGCCTGAAATAGAGAAAATAGAGCGATTAGGAGATTTGAAGAAGCCGACTTACTAACGAGATTCTTAAGCGCTAACATCTGCCCTTTTCTTGGCCCTCGCCGTGGCCACTTGTCGACATAACGGCACGTATTGCCGGAATCTTGGCAGGAGCCACATACAGGACGGACGCGATCACACCTGGCCTTCCGTCGCCGACAATCTTCGCATGCAAGGCCCGGTTGCTGGCGGTGACTTTGAATCGCCGTAGACATTTCGTACGGGGGCGAGGTTGAAATCGAAGTCTTTATCCTCTGGTTCGAATAAAGAAGTTTGTGTTTTGGTGTTGGAGGACTACTTGTGTCTTATCGGCCCCTCGGCGATGCTCGATGACAATTGCGGTAGAATCTAAGATCGTAGTGTTGGTGCAGTATACCGCAGTACTTTAGTTGCCAATGGAATACAAGGTAATGTTAAATGTTATCCACAGCAACGTCGATAACTAGGCCAGCGATATGAGGGAATATATCCTCGAGGCGAATGATACATCTGCTCCATTGCCAAAGACTAATCAGCATTTTAGGAATTATTCATCGTGTACGGAGTATTGGCCCCTGTATTGGCCCCTGTATTAACCCCTGTATTGGCCCGTCCTTACTGGCCTAGCACCTAAATTGATAACCGCTATACAGCCGTTGTATGGCGGTCTTTTTGAACGACCGCTATACGACCTGTGTTTGAGGCCGACGACCGTGTAAGAACTGGGTTGGGCTAGACCGTCGGAAGAGCTGCCCGTAATCTATAGCTTATAGTGAAGACCGGCGTTTGAACCCCAACCGTAGTACCTACAATTGATGGGGTAAATCTGCTCGGTATTGCTATACAGCTCTAAACGTCAACATTACAATTAAATAACGTATTTCACAAGCAAGTGAGCTATGAAAACACCAAAAATTGACCATTGCTACTACTACTACACTACCACCCCACATAATGACCCTTATTCATTCCTAGCGCCTCTCTTGGACCATATGTAACACTACTTCCTATCTAATAGGATGTATAGAGGTTTCTTGCATAAGGTTTAACTTAACAGAGGAGTGTTACAGCTACGGTAATGTGACGTTAGTTACAGGGCTAGCGGGGCTAGGCTCTAGTAACGTGAACTAAGAAGTTACAAGGCTAGCAGGGCTAGGCTGTAGCATGACTAGGCTAGTGGATAGTTGTAGAAACTAGTGGATATTAGATAGTTGAGCTATCCATTAACTATCTAGATTATCTAGCTATCCATCAACTATCAGGACTATCTATGAGGCATGACACTACTATATAAGTAGATAGTATTCCCTTAGATAGGAGCTTCGTGCTCAACTTAATATAGTATTCTTTATGATACTATAACGTGTTACTTAGAAAGCCTTTGTGTTTAATCCCCTGCCTCCTCTATCAAGTCAACCTTACATAAGAAACCTCTGTGTCTTCTATCATTTTAGAAGTTAGTGTTATAAGGAGGCAGGGGATTAGACACGAAGGCTTCTAAGTAACATGCTATAGTATTATAAAGAATACTATATTAAGTTGAGTAAGAAGCTGTAAGGAAGGCCATCACGTGCCACCACGTGAGGTCCCTTTCATAAGCGGCCCATAGGGCTCGGTAAAATAGGGCACAAGGTGCATAGATAAAAGGGGTTGGAGGCCTCAGAAGAAGGCCTCCAGTCAATAGTCGATGTATCTACGTAGACCTATTGTGCTTACAGAATACGATACCTTCCTGCCTCCTGACCTGGTTCCCTGGACTCCCGTGAGACCTTAGGCTTACGCTTTACAATTCTATTGACTGCACCCATATCCAGCCTACTGGGTCAGGATGGCGAGTATGGAAAGAAGGATTACGCGTGCGACTTCTGGAGGAGCAACGCCAGCAACTGACGCCACTGAGCCAGCTCCAAGAACTACATCCGTAGAAGCTAGCCATTGGACGGCAGGCCAGGACGAGAGCATGGCCTCGAAGCTGGCAGACCTTCGGAAGCGGATGGACGAAGAGAGGGCCTACATCAACACGATGGAGGAAGCCCTAGAGCTTTTCCGAAGAACGCACGGCGACGACTACAACGCCTACCCTGAGGCGGTACGGGACTTCGCGAAGAAGCAAGCCCGGATTCAGGAAGAGAACCGTCGGAAAAGGCGACACCAAGATATTGAGGACGAGTGGGAAGGACCCCAACAAGAGGAGGAGGCAGAGACTGCCTCTACCGTATCAATGGAGGTCACACCAGCCCAGAGGCCAATAGGAAGGGTCAAGGAACCTAAGGTATATAAGGGCGAATCCATCCGAGAGCTCAACGAGTTCATGGCCTCGATCCGCGCTATCTTCCGATACCAACCAAGGGTTTTTCCAACTGAGCAATCTAAGGTGGCCTTCGCTGCCCAATACTTGGAAGGACACCCTATGAAGGAATGGGATAACCGGTGCGCAACCCAAGGAGAAGGATACATAGATCCCTTGGATATCGCTGGGTTCGAAGAGTTTCTTCGGGACCTCCATGTCGACCCAGCCAACCGACAACGCATCGCGGCCTTGAAGTATAACGTCGCCCTACAACGGAAAGGGCAGAGCATCCGCAAGTTCGTGGCCTACCTTGAGGACCTCAAACGCGAGATGGAACCGTATACTGAATCGCAGAAGACTGTCCACCTTCTGACGAAGATTCACCCAGAGATGAGGCAGCGGCTCCTTGAAGGAGGGTACGCAGAGCGTTCCTCTACCCACAGGGACGCTATCGTTAATATCCTGGCGATGTTAGAAATGACAAACCAGTGGGTAACAGAGAGAACTCCTACTGTTGACAAGTCCAACTCAAGGGAAGGAAGGAATACCTCCCAGGGCAGCTTTCCATTCCTAAAGGGCAACTCTGGCAGCCACAGGGCTCCCCAGCCCTCGGCCCAAGGAGAAAGAACACCCTTCTGGAATAGACACCGCCCACAAGACCAGCGGCCGAGAGGACAGGCCCCTACCCACAGTAGGGACGCTAGGCCAATCCCTAGCGGAATCAATTGTTATAACTGTGGCAAGGCGGGCCACCTCGCGAAGGAATGTCGAGGCCCACGCCAACACACAGGCCCAGGGGTGAGGAAATTGGACGCCTACACCCCCAAGAGGGAGTGACTCCCAGCAGAATCCCAGAAGCCTACGGCGCAGCGTCGAATGGAGATCGAGGTAGAGGTGCAGGTAGGGCCCGGATGGCACAAGGCAAAAGCCCTCCTCGACTCAGGATCTGACGCGTCCACCATCCACCCTCTGTTTGCCAAAGAGAAGGGTTTGGAGTGCCGGGATAGGGCACCGCCACGGGCAAGGGCAGTCGATGGAAAAGAGGTTGTGATATATGGAGCGGCCACCACCCAGGTCCGAGCTAGGGACCACTTTCAAAGGGAATGCGTGGTCGCCCAGACCCTCCTTTCCATGGACACCCCAGGAGTAGACGTCATCCTTGGGATGGATTGGATGACGCAGGTCAACCCCCAGATCGACTGGCGCAAACAGACCTGGCGCCAGCCCTTCGATATTGCGAGAGCCGAGGTGGCGGATATTGAAGAATGGGAGGAAGGTGATACTGCCTTCGTCTTGGCCTTAAACACAGATGATAGAGCGCCTACCCAATGCCCGAAGGAATACGAGGACTATATCGACGTCTTCTCGGAGGAAAAGGCAGAAGAACTGCCAGAGCTGGGAAGGAAAACCCATGCCATCGATACTGGGCCCCAGGAACCACCGTATGGGCCAGTATATAACCTATCGGAAACGGAGCTGGCCACGCTCCGTAAATACCTCGACGAGAGCGAGAAGAAGGGTTGGATCCGAAGGAGTGTAAGCCCTGCAGGCGCACCCATCCTATTCGTTCAGAAGAAGGACGGAAGCCTACGCCTCTGCGTAGACTACAGAGGCTTGAATAAGATTACCGTGAAGAATCGACACCCGCTGCCACTGATCACGGAGACCTTGGATCGGCTCCAAGGGTCGAGGTGCTTCACAAAGCTTGATATTAGGAACGCCTACCACCGCATCCGTATTCGCCCAGGCGACGAGTGGAAGACAGCGTTCCGTACTCGATACGGACACTTCGAGTACAGGGTGATGCCTTTTGGATTGGCTAACGCACCTGCAACGTTCCAAGCGTACATGAATGAGACCCTACAAGGGTTGGTTGACACCATATGTGTCGTATACCTTGATGATATCCTCATCTACTCCCAGAAGGAGGAGGAACACGCTGACCACGTACGAGAGGTCCTAGGACGCCTACGCGAGGCGAACCTATACGTGAAGCTCTCAAAGTGCGAGTTCAATGCCAAGAAGGTAAGCTTCCTTGGGTATATTGTCACAACGGAAGGGGTGGCTATGGAAAGCGACCGGGTTGCTGCAATCGCCGATTGGCCAATACCTAGGACCCATCGAGAGGTCCAGGTGTTCCTCGGCTTTGCCAACTTTTACCGGCGCTTTGTAAAGCAATACTCCTCCGTGGTGGCCCCAATGACAGGCCTTATGAAAGGGGCAAAGGCAGGCAAGCAGACAGGCCCGTTCGTGTGGGGGGAGGAACAGCAAAGCGCCTTCGGCCAGTTGAAGAAGGCCTTCACTACAGCCCCCACACTGGTCCATTTCGACCCATGCCGTAGAATCAGGCTCGAGACGGACTCGTCAGGCTTTGCGCTCACTGCGAACCTGTCTCAATTAGTGGAAGGAACTAAGCCAGAAGAGAAGGGCGAATGGCACCCAGTTGCCTTTTTCAGCAAAAGCTAGATCCAGCAGAGCTGAACTATGAAGTCCACGACCAGGAACTCCTGGTGATCGTGAAGTCCTTCGAGCAGTGGAGACACTACCTCGAAGGAAGCCAGTACCCAATTGAGGTCCTAACAGATCACAACAATCTGAAGTATTTTATGGAAACCACCGCCCTCACAAGGAGGCAATCGCGGTGGGTGCAGGCGTTATCAGCCTATGATTTCCACATCTCCTATCGAGCGGGAAAAACAAACCCAGCAGATGGTCCATCTAGGAGACCAGACTATGAGGGTGAAAAGGGTAGCCAGAATGTGATGCTACCGACCCTTAAGAACAAGCTCCGAGAAGCCATGGCAGGCAGGAGGTATCCCGCAGATAAGTCGGACGATAACAAGCCAAGAAGGCTTTCAGATAGGAGAACCTAACCTACAGCGTAGGAAGGCAAACGCTAGCAGCGTAAGACTGGGCGATGACCATAGTAAGGACACCAAGAGTCCAGGTTCTCGTTGTCCCTCGGGTTGCAGTAGCTGCTGTAGCCAAGGGAGAGAGCGCCTATAGTGCTGCGTCTGAACCCCTAATAGACTTGATCAAAACCCTCCAGGCGACTGACGAGTTAGCTGTTAAAAGGGCCAAGGATATTGGGTTGGCGCGAGCAAAGGGCTCTTCAGATTGGAGAGTAGACGATGCAGGCATCCTACGCTTCAGGAGCGGTATATGTACCTCCCAACCAGGCAGTGCGGATGGA